ATGACTGCAAAGGCAGTAATTGCCTATGTGGCGGCTTGCTCGGCTGGACGAGGCTGCTTGTTGGTCAGTTGTTTGGCCTTCAACGCCCTCAGCGTCACTCGGAAATTGGTGTCCGTAAGCACGAATACTGCATCCATGTGAGTTCAGTCAGGTATACAAGAAGCAGGATGACGCACATCAAAATATTCTTGTCATTCAGTTTAGGAAATCGGGAACAGATCTCTGTGCAAAGCCTTACACACTGTGAGTCATCCAACGCCCCGAATGGATAATAGTGTATGACCACATCTTGCAGCTCGGCAAAATGTCCCTCAGCCAAAAGCTCATCAATCTGAGTGCAGACGTCCGCATCGAATGCATTAAGCAAAGCATCTGTTTCCCATTTTGAATGGCTCGGTATGGAAAAATGGATGTCTTTGAGATCTTTCGATGATATTGTGTTGAGCAGAGGCAGCAGCACACTCTGGACGAATAGTTCAACGTCATTCACTTCCGAAGTGTCGATGGCCAGTCGCAGTGCCTGCAGATTGACATTTGCTTCAAAGCTGATAGGGGCTCAAAAAGTATGGGCCATGCTGTGCACGCAACATTATTTGATTGCATACTCACAGAGCAAGGGCTGGATGTTGCTACGGCCGTCTTCCTTTGATGCCCGGAAAGTGATTGTTATATCCTTGAGTCTCTTGCCAGCGATGTCCAGCATGTGTTGAGTAAAAGCAAGAGCCGCCGCAGAGACTTGTGGATGTAAGTCGAGTGTTTCGAGGATAGCTTGATCCAGCAGACCGAGGAGAATATGTCCAATGCCTTCGAAGCACGACAGGTCATACTCAAGGGAAGCCACTCTCGTCAAAGGCATGTGGTGGTGTTCAGGCAGTGGAGCCGTGGACCTCGCTACACTCCAGCGCAGATCCTGGCAAAAAAGGTGCTCAAGACGAGGAAATGAGCAGATGACCTGGAAGAAGGGTCTCGCCGATGGCAACGTCACTCTCACTAGCTGCAATGATGTGATTTTATTGAATTCGTGCAAGCTCCAAAATGCTGAATTGCGCATAGAGCAGTGCTCGAAGCTGACGGAGTAGAAGTGAAGCGAGGCCAGCTTTGGAAGTTTTCCCGCCAGCATCACGAGAATCGATGCCGACTTTGGACCTGAAGGGTCCGCAATCGTTAAATGTCGTAAACGTGCACCGAGGAGAGGTATCTGCGTCAGTGACCTCGCACAGGCAATCGCCTCTTCCCGAGTGCGGAGCACGGGCATCTCGAAAAGGACCACGCGGCTCTCAGCATACCATCCTCGGCAGACGAGGGCGCAGTTCAACAGAGTCCGTCTGCTTAGGGGCCAAAATGGATCGAGATGGTCGATGATGCGCTCGCAGATCTCGGGCGAAAGGCGGGGCTGAGGGTCATTGATCGGCGAGGCAGCATTGGCATCTACTGGAGCGGTCATGGCAGGATGGAGATGGGCGGACGGCCTGTGTCATTATATGAGCAAGTGCCCGAGAAAACGATTGTATATGCTCACAAGTGCATTCACTGTGCACGAGATGCGGCCTGTCGAAATGAAGAAAAGACAGAGATGCAAATGATGCCGATGAGATGGAATAAGAGTAGGACGGTTGGCCTGCGGCGACTTGGGGTGTGGAACATCTTATATGTGTGATGAACGCTTCGATACTACCGAATCACAAGCGCTCACCGATCTGATACAGTCGGTTGATACCCACACAGCTTTGCTTGTGGCATGTCGATCACCGCATAACTCCACTGTGCCAAGGATAACAAATAAACTGTGGCACTGTCCTAGCGGGATACAAATTTAAGCACCTATGTTCTCTATCTGTCACCCAGAAACAATGAACGTACAGCACAGCACAGCGATGTAAATGCGTTCATTCTCTTATCAAACGCCGGACATCGATGTTGCGCTGCGCATGCACTGTCTGTTAGGTGCCATCGATGTTCTGTTGCGCTATTTTGAACTATCGCATTCATGTGTGGGTCGCCTAAAGTCACTGTCCTTCGCTTTCTCAGCTACAGTATTGTTGGTACCAAGGTCGTGCATGGAACTCACCAGAGCTGCATGTAGTGATGCAGGCAGGAGGCAGAAAGTGCCGCTCACTTTGATGTTCACATAGAATATTCCAAATAATCAGAGCGCTCTTGATGCCACAAGGGAGGAAATCGCTTGCGAACAGTCCATGGAAGGTCGAGACACACAATACGTTGGGATGCTCCCCTTTCGTCATCCGCCGAACATGTCTGACTCGTTTCGAGGCAACTGCATGCCGGTGAACTGGTGTTAATTGTGCAGGAATCAGATGTAGACAACTAACGTACAACATGGTTGCGACCCACTAGGATATGCCTTGGAGTAAATCGATGCAACGTCCACTTCTATAGCATAGTCGCGAAGGGTTGATCTGCAAATGCATCCCGACCTTGAATTGTATGATATCCCTGTTGTACAGCAGATGTGTCTCGCTTGGAAAAAGGAGCGCTAGCGATAACACAGTCAATGAGATTAGAGGCGAGACACTCACTGGGTCATCTGGTGTGCAGAAGCCTTATTGTCTGCATCTTACTTTATTTATGCTGAGCTTACTCAAGGACAATGAGGTTATGCTACGCTACAATAAGCGGACCAAGACTGAGTGAAGTGCGCAAGGAGGAGGATATTCTGAACAATGTTCTGAAGAGTCAAAACGCGAGGCATCTGTCCAATCAAACATGTGTCTGCGGAGACAGCGGATGTAATATCAGTGCTCCAGAATGATAGAACAGGAGTGAGATCAAGTATACATCAATGTCACCAAGACGCGTCAAATACACCAAAGACAGACCCGACGAACGCGCAACCTTCATCCGCTTCTCTGAGCACGTATCTCCGAATTGACATACTTCGTCCTTCCACGTTCTTCGGTCCATCAGCACAAGATTGCCTCCCAAGGAACGCACGAACGCACCCTTGAACCGTACCCCATTCGTGTTCTTGGCCTGCTCTCTCTCCCCTGCTCCTTCTCCTCTCTATCCAACCTTGCGTCGTACTGTCCCTCTCTTCCCCCGGCTCAAGTGTTCTCTTTTGCGCTCGCTCTTGCTCCTTGACTCGGACTTGCTCTTCTTGTGCTGGTGGAGAACAAATCGCGTGCGCTGATTCGTGACAGCAGACGCGTACCGTCACACGTTACGGTGGCGGCTCAATACGTTGACCTCTGTTGACCTTCCAACGCTAAGCGCGCCTCCATCATTTGTTTCTCATGCGGACGGGACCTGCACGAGAAACCACCATTGTTGCGACATTCATCTCTGATACCATATTATAAAGACTCAGCAATGGCAAATGGTGCACCAAGTAAACAGGTTTCGTCGGTATGGAAGGGCAAAGCCAAGGCGGCAGAATCAGACTTCGACGACCTCGGTCCAACCATCACATATCGACATCTTCTGTCTCACAGCCTGGGCGTGAAGGATCCTCTCCGAGTTGTTGCGCTTTGTGACAGCGATGCGTTCTACGCCGCGTGTGAGCAGGTCCGTCTGGGAATTGATCCGACGAAGCCTCTGGTCGTCCAACAATGGGATTCCCTCATCGCAGTAAATTACCCCGCTCGCAAGTTTGGAATCACCAGGATGGAAAAGATCAAGGAGGCACGGAGAAAATGTCCAGAGCTCCTCGTCGTGCACGTCGCAACCTATAAGGAGGGCGAGAAAGAGCCCGGATATTGGGAGAACCCAGACACCTTGACACACAAGGTATGTTCAGAGTTTTGCATGCACGAAATGCATCTACGGTCTTCATCCGTGTCAACGGCGAACTGAAAATAGTTGCTTGACTACGTCCGTCATCAGGTATCTCTCGATCACTACAGACGAGAGAGCATGAAGATCATCCGCATGTTTCAGGAGGGATTACCGACGGGAGAGATTGGTGAGATGTTTCGCTTGCTTGGTATCCCTCATGCCCATGCTTACGCTGCATGACAAGAGAAGGCATCCATTGATGAAGCTTTTATTGACTTTACTCGTCCTGTCCGCGAAGAGATTTTGCGTCGTTACCCCCACCTCGCGCAAGTCCCGCCTGACGCACCTCAAGGTTTGGATAGCGCACTTCCCCCGCCTTCACCAATCTCGTGGGATGGCCTGGGCGTTGTCATTCCGATCGACCCTTCAAAGCCAGAGACTCCATCGAATGTCTCCGAGCCTGGCTTACGCGACGAACAGGCAAGGGTTGACGGTCGCAAGGATGATGCCGAGATCACAGAGGACGTTACCTTGACAACGTGGCACGATGTCGCTCTGTCCATCGCTGCAGAGCTCATGGGCAAAATCAGAAGCGACATTTATCGAACACTTGGCTATACGACCTCAGCTGTAAGTGTTGGATAACTCTCTGTGTCGATTTCATTTTGTAATTTTTGTTGCCTTTACAGGGTATCGCCAGGAACAAGTTCTTGGCTAAAGTGAGCTGTGGTTTGCGACAGCGACGATGATTCTATCTGATGTACCAAATAGCTGACTGCCTCATACAAGAAGCCAAACAGTCAGGTATGATTTGTAGCTCGGGAACCGTTCAATAGATCATTGATCCACAATTAGACCATTCTCCGCAATGCTGCGATACCCAATTATCTCAAACTGACCCCATTTCAGAAGGTCGGTGAGGCAACATGCGTGCTCGGAATCCTTCTATGACGCCATATTCCTTAGATCCGCTTTCTCGGCGGGAAATTGGGGAAAGCTATGGCAGAAGAGTACGACGCATCAACGGTTGGTGATCTCCTGTGTGTTTCCATGAATACGTAGAATTTGATAAATTCGCTGATCTTACCATCGCAGCGCGATAAATCTTGGTCGGTTGTAATTGGTTTCTCCTGAGGCATCCCTGACCGCGTCTGTTTCTCAAGATGAAATGCAACGCAAGTTCGGTGAGAACTCGATATGGGTTTATGAAATCTTGCGGTATGTATTCATACCCGGCGTTATTGCTCCGACCTTGTCATTGATCGTGGTTATACTAGAGGTGTAGATAGATCTGAAGGTGAGAGCACGTCAACATCATTCGGCCTCGGAGAACGTGAGACTGAGACTGGGAGTAGTGAAGGAGAAGTCTGCGGTCAACAAGAGCATGATGGCGTCAAAGAACCTACTCCAACCCGTTACTAAGCCTTCCCAGGGGCACCATTGGATTCGGGTGCTTGCTGCAGAGCTAGCTTTGCGATTGAACGAAGCTAGAGAAGAGATGTCTGCCCTTTGGCCGAAGACTCTCGTCCTGCATGCCAGGAAAGGTAAAGCATACCGTCTCTGCCGTCCTCGACAGCTAAAATGAATTATGTACAGGATACGAGACCGGACATTCGAAGCAGATGTCGTTTCCATTCGCTCGCAATGTAACAGTCGACTTGATAGCAACCGCAGGAGACAAGCTGTGGCGAGATCTGATTGGTACAGATACTTCGTGCTCGGGACCTCTCAAAATCACCAACGTGGCGCTGGGATTCACCGGCGTCGAGAGCATGGAAGCTGGACAGCGAAGCATCGAGGGGTTTCTAAAGACACCACCCCTCCCTGACGTCGCACGACGAAGCTTGGATGAGGCTGCCAAACGCAAGAGGGGCCTACATGATGACCTCGAGGCCTTCGCGAGATCAGACAACCGGGCACGGACGGGCACCGGTGACGGTTCGCATGACACCAACACATCATTCCTGTGTGATAGATGTAGTGAATGCGTCGCGCTCCCGGATGATCTGGCAGTTGATGGCGTCGGGGATGATATCCGGCGAGAGGCGCTGGCAGCACTTCGCATGGAGCATGATGATTTCCATCTTGCACAACAGTTGGCCATGCAGCTATCTTCGCCCAGCAGTTCCAAGAGGTTTCGACCATTGGACAAGACTCGTTCGGAGAAGACTAAACGGAAGGGACAATCCAAGAATATTGCGACATTCTTCAGCGGGAAGTAGGAAGGCGAAACACAAACAGGTGGAGTATGTAGGCATCGGATCGGTTGTACCAATGATTGAATCCATTTAGACATACGCGTGCGAACGAGCCCGTCTATTCACCTGATCATCAACATTCTAGCGTCACTTAACAGCATGCTGCGCAATCCATTGTGGTTTGATGAAACCAATCGCACTCCGGGCGAGTTTCTCACTCACGTCACTCACGTCTACCAACTTATGATGCACTGCCGAAGTACTGCCTCCTTAGGCATTGTCACTACGACGGGTCTCGCAATTGCTATTGACCTCTTCTCTCCTGAGCTGCGACGTTCTTCTTTTACTGAGCTCGTTCTTTCTCTCTCTTTTCTTTCTTCTTTGGCCGGTCCCACCTCGTCTGCATTCAGCCAGACCTTAACGAGACGCAGGACAACGTCTCTCTTTCTTACCCCAGTTGTCAGCGACAGCCTTGGGATTTTTGGGCCATAACGAGTTTTTCAATCGATGTGCACACTCCTTCGGTGGTAATCCTCTTTTCAAAATGCACCGGGCAACGATCTTTCCTTACAAGCGTGGCCAGGCCCCGGTTCTGATGGTACGTAACCGATGAAGTATAATTAGTGTGTCCAGGCCGGTTTGACGCACATAGCTTCGCACGAATAGGTCATTGTCGTATTTGCTATTCTGTCGATACTAGCGGTTGGCTTCATCCTGATACATGTATCATGGGTTTCTATCCATGCACTATTGGTGAAGCGAGGGATGGCTCAAGGGCGTCTAAGAAAGCGCTCCTTCTTCCAGACGCAGCTGGGCGCTTATACAGTCTCTCTCCTGCTCAGCAATCTTTTGACAAGCATTGCTCTCACCATCGACAATCGCTGGCTTCAACAGGACCATGTGCAAATCGGTGAGTGGCCTGTCGCGAGTTGGTAGCCAGCCAGCTCATATACCGGTAATGTTTTTCTTACAGGCGCGCTATGTAGTGCACAAGGTATGTTCACATTGTTGCTGCTGCGATGGTGCCGTTGACGCGAGGAAACCTCAGGGTTCATTCTGTTGCTGGGAAATACTGCGGGTGCCTACTTTACCGGTACAATTGCCGTGCATGCCTTCAACACCCTCGTGTGTCACAATCGCTTGCCGGCATGGTTTTGCAAGCTTGCCGTCGTCAGTGGTTGGGTGATTGCTGCTGTCATCGGTAAGGGTTTCGTGGCTATAGTTGTGTAGCCTTCGCCGACATGCGTTTCTCAGCCATCTTGCCATTCCTCGTCCACGAAAGGAAAAGAGGACCAGTCTACGGATTCGACGGCCTGTCCTGTAGCATTTCGATGCGTCATTCCGTGTTGACAGTGCTTTTGCAGCTGCTGCCGGTGAGCGTGCCACTCATTTGCTCGCAAAATATTCCCGCGTTTCTCAATCTCATGTCATTCTGGCTGTAGATGTTCCTTGCGATTTCTATTTCTTTGGTATTCTACATACTCATATACTTAGTTCTTCGTGGGACTATGGTAATCCGCGGTGGATTGAAGTTCAATTTTAGTTCTGAAGCTCGTCGAAGTGCTATCAGCACCGCGGAACATTCTTTACAGTATCATACATTCATCCGTGCAGTTGTTAGAAGCATGTTCTGGTGAGTATCCTATGCTCCTATCTTATCTCGTAGCTGAAATGAAGTTGTGTGCAAGGTATCCCGTAGGTGAGTAGGGATACGTACTTGTCGTGAATGGATGCGACTCATCCTCGACATGATTTAGCGTATACGGTGTTAACACTAGCCCCTACCGTAACTGATCTAATGAAGATCGCTGGGGATCAGGTCCCATTTTCATTGCACATAGTTGCCGACACAAGCACAGCCATGTTCGGTAAGACTGAATTACTGAAGCAGTTCATCGGGCTATACATTTTTCGACGTAGGTCTCGCAAATGCATTCGTCCTGTGGAGAACCCTAAGGCTGCTAGCTCCTTTCATCGCAAATTGCACTGTGTCGCAAGAAAGGAGCGATTCAGAGAGCTTCTTTATACCGAGCGCATCACTTATTCCCATCCCAGAGGTAATCGAGGACGCAAGTAGCAATTGGAAAAGAGAGGACGACAATTGCGAGAAACAATCCTGTACACTCGGAGCCGACTATCAGGCAAGGTCAGCGATTGAAGACTTGCCATCTCTGCCTTTTGCGCATCCGGAAGCATGTCGAATTGCTCCACTCGATCAAGATGCAGGTTCAGACGATTCGTTGCATTTTTTACAACCGAACCACCCGGCTTCTCCGCCATATAGGGATAGTGCAGGGGCATCTCTGCCTCCTTCTGCTCTTCCGCGACCTCTTACAACCGACTCGGTTCCTGGTGATACTGTCTCCATCCCGGAACAGGCGCACGGGTCGCCACGTTGGAACTCTCCTTTACCCTCGAACAGCATTCGGATCCCCGTAGGCATGCCTCCTACACGTCATACCACACATCGTCTGTTCATGCGACCGTCATCTATGCCAGCAAATGAGGTAGATAGCGTCTTAGTCAAGTCGGTCGTTTCGTGAGCTGAAAATGCATGCGTTCACTCTACAGACCTCCAGTCAACTTAACGCGAATACCATTGGAGGAGAGGCAGATACAAAGAGGATGCGAAGTAGCCTACCCACGATTGCGAAGAAGGAGAGTATGGAGTCCGTCAGGTTAAAGCGCGTACTGCTACCACCGTCTCCGTACTTATCGGCCCCTCCCTCTCGACCAAGCAGTCAAGCTGGGTCGGTCGTCAGCACGGCCAGCCGAATGGGACTTCCATCCAACCCACGCGCACTGCTGCAGGATGCTGCATCACCGATCCCACCGCCTATGACTCCGAGAAATGCCAAACAAGAATCAGCGATACCGATTCCCACAAGGCATAGCGCCTCCGTGCGTGTTTCGCGTCGGTCGACGTCAGGGCCGGCGTACAAGCCTTACACGCGCTCGAGATCATACGTCAATCTTCGCTCTGCTGCCCAGTATCGTTCTCTTCCTTTGTCGGCACGCTCTGTCGGGATTGGCGCAGCCACGCAGGGTGGCCTACACGTTGCGTCTTTGACGGCACCGGTGGCGAGACCGTCATCTCTGGCTGACCCGAAGGGGCTCTCTGGACGTCTTCCATCCATCCGAAGGGCCCCTCCAACATTAGGTACAAGGCCGGACGGTTACTTCTGACGCGACGCTCTGAGGACGATGCCACTCAACAACACTTCTATACTCTGACTGTGCGGGCACAGGCTGTGTTGATTTGCGAGTGCATGCCTATCTGTTCTCATTCGCGCTCTGCTCTGTGTTAACTGTGGACAGCATTGTAAGCTCAATTTTAGATTTGCCCGAGATAGACGTCAGCAATACGTGTATCAACTATACGCAGAATGCCACGTAGATTCAGAATCATGAAAGGAAAATACTTATATAAATCCATTATTCTCACACCATAGGTTATTAGCACTTGATAACACCCGTTTGAGCCTCATTAGGATGCGACTGATCAGACGAAGGTGTTTAAGGCTTACCGAGGTCCGAAAGAGTGACTTACTTTGCCTATGGAGGCCCAGGAAGACAGTCCTCGTGTCCTCGCAATCCTCCTCGCAATCATAGATCCTTAAACCGTATGAGGTGCTTAAATGCCGATCAAATGCACCTGTGGATTTTATGATGTGCATTGCGCACTGACGTTATTTAACATAAGCAGCGAAGCGGAAGCGCAGTCGACCTGCAATCGGGACCGCTGATAACAAAAAGCTGCATGAAGTCGCCAGATCGTTATCTTCATGGCAAGCGGTGAATATACCGCAAATTCTGCTCAGCTATCCAGCGTCGAGAGGTTGATGACTGTAGTGACTAGAGCTGGCGCAGGGAGGTCGCACACTCCATTGCGATAGCCCTACAATCTATCTTGTCAAAGTCGGTAATTGCCACTTCATCGGAGAGCAACGGAACCATCGTATGCACTGAAGGCCCATCGAGGAATGTGCTTGAACCAGCTACCGAAGCAGTAGAAGCGGCTTCCTGGGCCATCGCCTTACGACCGATCGACATCTGCCCATCGCATGCACACAGGGCCGAGGAGACGCGATCGCTTTGAACGGAGACAACACACAGGATCGCGACTTTCTGCACACCATTGCAGATATGATCAAGGTTCGTTACGATTGCATCAACTTTCTGGTCAACAATGCCGACATCATGTCTAGCCGCCAGCCCAAGATCCCAACATCAAGAGCTCTTGTGGCACTTCTGAAATCGCTGCGCAGAGCTCCAAGGTCCGAGATGTCGCCGAAGTACTGCATTCCTGGCGCTCCTGCGTAAGAGTAACGGACACAGCATCTCCGGTCATCACGAGCCGAGCCGTCATAATTTTGAGACTTGAGCCAGTCTCAAAGGACCCCGGACTTGTATACGTTGTCGTCAGGATCAACGAAAGAGCCACCGCATCCAGTGAAAATGATGGCAGTACTATTTCGAAAATTGACAGATCCGAAACAACGTCACATGCCTGGGTTTATTCTCTTCATATGCACATGTTGGCGAATTGTACCGATATAGCCTTTGCCTCGAGCACCTTTGCCACCAGAAATGACAAATGGCATCGACGAGAAGAGCTAAAGGTGACTGTACCGTTGCAAGGAGCCGGCAAGATGAGCTACGGTTTACCGCATCGCCGCGGCCATGATGGCTGATTGCTTCTATTCTTAGACTGGATCATGCATTGAGGGCAATGTTCACCTTGTAGACGGTGGTCGACTGCTGCCTTATCTTCTGTATGCCAGAGATAATGTAAATGTAGGCGCTCACGCAGCTTCCCTCCTATTGCATTCGAGCAGATTCTTCAGCGTCAGACCCGCGACCAGGCATCCGCTGGATATCTGCGCATAGGAGAACGTACCAGACACACAAATAGGTATCACAAATCGGAGATTCTCCTCACCTCTACCGTATCATTGTCGATATTGAACAACAGAACTGCCTCTCAAACTATCCAATGATCGGCGGCACCGAGGAGGGCTGCAGTATCGAAATTCCTCAACACTGCGCGAAAAGGAGAAGCTACAATAAGAGGAAAGGCCGTATGCTTGGTCAGGTCTGCACTAGCATCAGCTGAGATGGACGCCAACCACGCGGGGAAATTGTGCGCGCTTAGTTACGCGCGCTTACTGCATTTTTCCCGGGCCCTTTCAATATAGGGCAGTTACTTTACTAAATCGGTACTACTATCGCCTCTCCACTAGGGACACCAACCGCACTTTTATTGCTACCTCCGCCGTATCTAACAAGCCGACGACATTGCATTATGTAACAGTGAAACTGCCAACTGCGTGCTCGAGACTTGAATATTTGAATGCTATTCCTCTTCGTTTTGTAATGGCCCGCTATGGCCGCATCAGCAACGATGTACCACGTGTTGGGACGCAATCCCACTGGCAAGATAATGGAGTGTTGCGGCCCTTGCACCATTTGCCGCGCGCAGTCGCAGGCAAGTACAGATCAAGCTGGTGGTCTATCTGCCTGAGTAAATGGTAACACGATTCCGCGCCAAAGTCCAAGAACTCGAACAGCAGTGCACAAATTGCACCGGTGACCATCATGCTCCAGTTATCACGTTCGGGGCAATGGGACAGCTAAATATCGACATGTTGCCTGCGGAACAATTCGACACCATATTCACCGAAGAGAACATCAAGAGGACCGCATGGATGGTATAGACACACAGCTATGTGGCCGGCGACGGAAATGTCGCATCATGGCATGTAGGTTCGGTTTCAGCACGCTTACTCTGCATTACGTAGGAACACAAGAGTGATGCTAATACGAAGAACATGCGGAGGCAAATTGGTCGACGTGGATGGGGCATGGAACGGGACCGTGACGCCACGAGGCGATGAAGATGAATGCAGCATCAATAACTTTGTCTACACAGACACCACTTTCTCCTGGGCCCGGATCCATATAGCTGTTGCATAGCAATGCGTCAGCCGCCCGGTCCTGCAATGTAGTAGCACTGCAACTGACCATGCGTGCTCCATATAGGTTGATGCAGAACATGACCGCAACAGCAGGCGATGGGAAAGAGCAAAAGAAGATGATTGACTTACCGGAGGATAACGTGATGGGGATCAATGATGGCTTATCGAATCTGCTTATGAATGCGTGTTGCCTCTTCACCTCCGTTGCACCTCCGTCTTGCGTATACTCTTCATCCTCAGGGTTCGCAGCGATGTCAAGAGTATGTCCGTTATGCACAGTGCAGTTGAGGAGAGCTGATACCTGCCTTTAGGCTCAATTTTTGAGAGAGTACAAGATGGTAGTCGTCGGTGACGGTGGTGAGACATGACAATCGGTAAATCATGCGATGTAGCTAATGTTGCCCGCGAGGTGTGGGAAAGTCCGCCCTCACAATCCAGTTCATTCAGAATCAATTCATGACTGAGTATGACCCTACCATCGAGGGTAAGTCGCGTGATCCTCGAACTCTTCAGTCATCGTCATGTACTAATCGCCTTCAGACTCGTATCGGAAACGATATGTCATTGATGAAGAACTTGCTGTTCTCGATGTACTCGATACCGCCGGCCAGGAAGAATACAGGTGCGTGTGTCACCTAAATGCGACATACCTAAGCCTTCAACATGGATTATCAGAACCATACGCGAGCAGTATATGCGCTCAGGAGAAGGGTTCCTACTTGTTTACTCCATCACATCAAGACGGTCGTTTGAAGCGCTTGCCACCTTCCACCAACAGATTGTGCGTGTCAAAGACCAAGAAGTTCTTCCAATCGTGATTGTAGCGAACAAGAGCGACCTTGAATACGAACGTCAGGTAGGCATGAACGGTGAGTTCCTCTATCTAGGCCAATTTGCGGATTGGAACAGTGACGCTAAGTATCATGACTGCAGAAGGTCGATCAATAGCAAAAAATCTAGACTGCAAGTTCATCGAGACATCAGCGAGGCAGAGAGTGAATGTGGATGAGGCCTTCTGTACCCTGGTCCGGGAAATCAGAAAACATAACAAGGTCTGCCGCACTCTCAATTGTTATGAAACAATTGTTAGATTGATCCTCACAGGAGCAACAGGCGAGTTGGCCTGTGCAGCCGAGCACGCCGTCCATACCTGGTGCACACGACGCACCGAAGGGCGAGTCCCACGTCCCAGGCTGTCGCGGTGGTTGCATTGTTGCATGAACGCATGTGCCTCCCTCAGCTCCTCTCCCACACATCTTGCACTACACACAACTTGAGCACATTACCTTCCGCATCCTGCTGCTCGCTGTTGTCATTATGTGACCCTCGACCACTTCGCCCATCTCCCTCGTGACATGCTCTGCTCTGCTCTACGTATTCACATTCATCTGCTCACACATCAGCTATGCTCATCCTCTCACCGGCGGCTCGTATACCAGAACAAATTCCCGCCTTCGGCTCTGATCAGCTATGAATTGCATTGTGTACTCATGACTTAACCCGCTTCGGAGACAAATTTCAGCAAATGTGGACTACATGTGCATCAGATTCCTGGACGTTTCTCCGACTGAATGAACCTTCCCGCGACGTGTCATGGCATACTTAGGTCCTCAATGATGCATGCTGCCGCTGGGCACCGTCTATCACTACAAGAATATTCATTCGCGTATGAACCGGTTCTCACTAAAATTTCAGCGGCGACAAATGACATCTGCGAAGAGGACCCGCGCGAGGTCCCGGAATACCTGTCACTGCGAACAACAAGGTTCTCCATTCCTGGTGAATATAGGGTTCAGGGAAGGTCATTCTTGCATCTGTCGTACCCGCGCTGTCAAATATGGGAAACTTTATGTGCTACTCCGCGGCAATTAGCGGTTGCTGTGTAGGCGCGTACCTTTCGAACAGGCTCGATAAGCGCGTCGATCGTGCTCAGAGAGAAGCGCCTTCCCCTCCCGCTCGTGTGGGCCTCCGTTCCAGAACTAGTGAGTCGAATATCTCAGCGGCGCCTGGCATAAACGGATTCATCAATGGGATGAACATTGCGCACGATTTACACGTTCTAATTAATGATCTGTAGGAGTTTCGCGGCTTTATCGCGGACGGCAACGACGTTGGCAAATTCCGAGAGGGAGACCAGTGCACGCAGATCCTGAAACAGTTCGAACGAGCCTGAATCGATGAATGGCGATGCAGATGAAGAAGAAGATGGCATCAAGTAATCTGGACTGGAAGAGGTACGGCCTTAGGTCGCGCCCAACGACAAACAGTTGCTGCAGACGATCGTATGCAGAGCGCTGTAAAGCAGTAGACACGAGCTATACAGATTTGAAACAGAAACCGCAAGGAGACATCAGCAATACGGACGCCGTGGGGACAGCGGAATGACTTTGACACGAGGAGGACAGCCATGATGGACATCAATGATGTGGTTCGAACTCTGCGTGCATGATGCTGTTTGTCGTGCCGGACGGCCAGTTCAATAATGACAGATGCACTACTCGCATCTGCATAAGAGGGTGCATTGCCTCTACGTTCTCCGTCTCGCCTCTTTCACCGTTCCTCCCATTCCTCTCCGAGAATCGGCCAATATGTCAAGAGTGCGTCCTTTGTACCATCCATGGGCAGACTTGACTTCTTATCAGACCACAGGCACAGTTTCTGAGGGAATACAAATTGGTCGTTGTCGGAGATGGTGGTAAGCTTGACGTGTGCTGCAAATATGCGACTCTGCAATTCAATCTCTCCCACAAGGTGTGGGAAAGTCTGCCCTCACGATCCAATTCATCCAGAGCCACTTTGTGACAGAATATGACCCTACGATCGAAGGTGAGTCGCATGTTTTCGATGACAGGCAATTATGGGAATGTGATCATATTCCTCAGATTCGTACCGGAAGCAATGCGTGATCGACGACGAAGTCGCTCTGCTAGACGTGCTTGATACCGCAGGCCAAGAGGAATATGGGTACGTGCCCCACTATCACGCTACGGGCTTGGATCCTGATATGCGTTCTAGGCCGATGCGTGAGCAATACATGCGCTCCGGGGAAGGATTCCTACTCGTCTATTCCATCACGTCGCGGGCGTCGTTCGAGGAACTGAGCAACTTCCATCAGCTGATCTTGCGTGTGAAGGATCAGGACTCCTTCCCAGTCATCGTGGTGGCGAACAAGAGTGACTTGGAATACGAACGTCAAGTAGGCATGAATGGTGCGTAGTCAGGCTTGGATTGAGCTCTGATATAAATTGACTGCGGCACAGAGGGTCGTGCTCTGGCAAGACACTTCGGCTGCGAGTACATCGAGACATCAGCAAAACACAAACTTAATGTGGACGAAGCCTTCTATACGCTTGTCCGAGAGATCAGGCGACACAATAAGGTGTGTCCATTTATGTATTCACAGAGCTCGCCTGACGGATTCGCTTAGGAGCAGCAGACAGGCCGTCCCGCGCAGCCCGGTATGCATACGGAGCCTGGCAACGCATCAAGGGCCGACTCCGACGATGCCGGCTGCTGCGGTAGATGCATCGTCGCGTGATCGCCTGTGCCGCCTTCGTGAACCCGTACTCCTGTCTCGCAGATGTATCCATATGTAATTCTCCACTTTTCCCTTTTTGGTTGTGTACTCGCCAGCCGTGCGTTGGATTAGTCCTTCAGGTCCGGTCCGCCATAGGCCGCACGGCAACCTCGTCATTGAGTCTGATCGAATAGCAGATGCCAGTACTTGTAGAATTAAACTGTATAAGTGATTGGGTGGATGACAAACCGATCGTTTGCTGCACCTGGCCAGAGTGTGGAAATAGCATTCTGCTTCGCTTAGCAGAACCATCAGGACTATGCAACTCGCCCTTCATTATATCTGCACCTCGTGAATTACTCTTGTTTGACATTGGCAAACTGCGACGCATTTTGCTTACTGGTGAGAGTTTCTTTCCTTAGTGCACGGTTGTACATAGCATTAATATGTACGAATGTTCGGCCAACAGCAAACCGGGTGTCAGAGCCTCTTGAGCTGAGAGTGGTTGACATTCCTAAGATTTGCGGCGAGTCACGAACTGTTCGCTCTGTGGAAGAAGGGAGACTCAGGTTATCCAACCTTAGCTGTTATATTCGCGCCGTCAGATATGGAGAGCTTTATGTGGCTGGGCCACGAAGACGGAGAGGAGCAGCAGTTGTTGTATTGTCAGTCTATGCGCGCTTTCATCCTTTCACTGCTGCGTCGTAGCCATGATGAGATGACCAGCTCAACCAGGGTGTGCAGATATTTTCTTATTCGGACGACATCATTATTTGCTTTTCGGTCTCGAGAGTCCCCATACCAGCGTTAACGAAAAGGCTTGCTGAGCAGTTGTAAACGACAGCTTTCAATAACACTTGAAGAATGGCGAAATGGAAAGACGTCCTCGTGCGTTACGCGACTTGAGGAGTAATTGGGGAATACCGTTCATGATGGCCCGTGGGTTTCTGCATTCTGATTAGGGCTTTGCAGGAGTTTCGCATTGATATTAAGATAGGACCAGAAGCTTGGTTCGCATTTAGAGAGATATCGACACTGGTTGAAGAGGCATGAATGGGCCTGAGCACCGTCATAATTTGCTGTGCAGTGCACGTGAAGATGAAGTAGCATCACGAAATTGATTCGCACAGGATAAGGACAGAACCTTGGGTCGCGTCCTAGGAACAGGAGCCATTGAATACGGCGATTTGGCACTGTGATAGTATTCAACGCTCCCTAAGGTCAAAAACAAAGCGGCAAAGAACATTAGAGACGTTGGCGTCGATGGGACAAAGACAAGGGACAGCAGGATGTGGCGGAGGAAGAGGACAGCGTGAGGGGATCAATGATGGTTTACCGGAAGAGGCAAGAGACTGTTTGGCAATGTTTGTTATGCTGAGCGGCCAATATAGTGACACAAACGCAGCTCTCATGCGTTAAGAGTGCGCATTGCCTCTCCGTTCTTCTCCGGTGTACCTCCTTTACCCCAGGTCCTCTTCATTTTCAAGACTCGGCAGATATGTCAAGGGTGCGTTCGCTGTGCATCGCATAGTAGAGGGGGCTTCATGCCGGTCCGCAGGCGCAATTCTTGAGAGAGTACAAGTTGGTCGTTGTCGGCGGTGGTGGTCAGTCTGATTTATCCTCCTAGTATGCGATGCGGCTGAATGCGACATGCAAGGTGTTGGAAAGTCTGCCCTCACCATCCAGTTCATCCAAAGTCACTTCGTGGATGAGTACGATCCTACCATCGAAGGCAAGTCATCAGCTTCCGTCAATCATCGGGATGCGGCCATCGAGTCGTGCATGAGGGGTTCCTTTCCACCAACCCGCCGTTTCATTACGGTTAAGGTATGCGGAGACTGCTTCGCATCTCACGCTCGCAACCGTGGCGGCAGATACGCACATCCTGATTTAGTAGCAATGCCATCTCAGCGCCGGTGGCGGATAGCAAGATGCCGTACTGATAATGCTTGCCCACAGACTCATACCGGAAGCAATGTGTAATTGACGATGAGGTCGCTCTTCTCGATGTGCTTGACACAGCCGGTCAGGAAGAATACGGGTGCGTCTTCACTCCAGCATGCTGTACTCGTGGAGTCTCATGAGGTCTTAGGGCAATGCGCGAGCAGTACATGCGTACAGGGGAAGGGTTCTTGCTCGTTTATTCCATCACGTCGAGGCCGTCGTTTGAGGAGATCAGCACCTTCCACCAGCAGATCTTGCGTGTCAAGGACCAGGACACTTTCCCAGTCGTGGTAGTGGCGAATAAAAGCGACTTGGAGTATGAACGCCAAGTAGGCATGAATGGTGCGTCATCCAGCCTCGGTCCAATCCTGTGACCAATTGGTGACACTGACGCGTCGGCTACAGAGGGTCGAGATCTTGCAAAGCACTTTGGGTGCAAGTTCATCGAGACGTCAGCGAAGCAGAGAATTAACGTGGACGAAGCCTTTTACACGCTCGTTCGGGAGATCAGAAGACACAACAAAGTTGGTCTTTGTCCTCACGTGTAGAATACTTCAATAACTGGTTCCCTCAGGAGCAACAGACGGGTCGCCCGGTCCAGCCCAGTATGCCTTCTCAGCCTGGCGTGTACAATGCGCCAAAGGGTGACTCCGAAGACGCCGGCTGCTGTGGCGGTTGCATTGTCGCATGATCATCTACGTCTCACCTTCTCTTTACTTCACATCCTACACTATATACCGCCCGCACTGGGCTTATGGCGTAAACCTCTCCGCTTCTCGCCGTTATCATGTTGTTTTCTGCCCCTTCGCCAGTCTTCACTCGTCATCTGCTCTGTTCTGTTCCGTGTATTCACATTTAGCTCGCTCGCCTCCGTTTATACCATTCACCCTCACATGCTCCAACTCCGTCGTTGTGCCCCTCACGCTCCTTTATCGCATTGGTTAATTTGGAATTTATATGCCCGCATACAGATAACAGCATGCCCTATTCGCATTCGCATGTTTACCCAGACTCGCTGCAAACCTCAGGGAAAGCCCTCAGCGTGAATATCCATGCCCTTGAATGGTATGTCTCTCTCCTTTGCATCAACTTGTGTCCAGAGGATTCTAGGATGTGCAAGTCTGCGAACGGCTACCTTTGAGCTCTAGACATTGACAAACTGCACGTCTCGCTCCAATTACTCGGACATCCAATATCGTACACAAAGTTGGCGGTTTAGCAACCCTGTCTACTTGCGAGCATATGCTCTGCCAACCTTCATGCGTATGTAGAAATCCTCCGTGACGGTCTTGCTTGGACCGTGCGCCTTTGCCTTAATCTCGCATAACGTGCGCATGGCGACATTGAACGGAAATTGCGACCAATGATCGCTGGATCGGTTGTAATCGTATATGTATGCGTATGATGCCCGCAACCGCCGTATCGTTTCCTTGTCGAAGTCGAAGATAGGCTGCCCATCCGCTGTCGATGTAGGGCCTTGATCGAAGCGGATGGAGAAGTCACGCAGAATATCTTGTCTCTTGTCGATTGGCAGACCAGTGAAGGTGACCTCAGTTTCCTTCGCTTTACCCTTCTGGCTAGCTGCTGGCTGGCTTTTCTTCCTCTGAACCTGAGCTGTATGTTGACGAAAGCTCTCATGTACGGCTTCAACATGAGCCTTGATTGCGTCAAGTTCCTTCTGTTTCCTCTGCCAGCCGTCTGCTTTTCCCTCCTTGGCCTGCCGTGCAAGCTCCCTGGCATCGTTCCATGGACGAGCTAGGTCATGATCGAATTCCGGTGATGGCCCAAACCCCTTTCTGGGGAACAAGGTAAAAATGTACTCTTTTTGCTTCTCATATTCCCTGTGGACTGCGGCATGTAGTTCATCCATGACGAATGGGGGAAGGCCCATATTCCGCTTGGCATGTCCAGAGTTTGCGAATATCGCTCTAGTGACAATGCTATCCTTCCAAGGGAGTGAAGCACATGAATACACCTTCTGGTGTTCCTCAAAGACACCATTAGATACGCTTATGCCAGTTTTAACTCCGTCCAGGACAGTAGTGAACCTGTATGTTAAATGAACATGCATTACATCCAAATCTCAAAAAGAATAACACACACATATATGCCAAAAACAATGTATGAGGATGTTTGTAGCCATACTTGTAGATGGATGCTTCCCACATGGTGGAATATATACCAACTCTTGATATGCCCTTCAATGGTGCCAGCAGATGTTTTTGCAGCTCATAGAGTACACTTGCAGGCCCAGAAGCGCTTGTGCGAGCTAGAAACTGATCTACTGTCTCAGTATTTTTCACAATGCACTTCTGTATGGCTTCTGGTTCCTGAGCAAAGGCTGGAGGTGCGTTGGAGAAGGCTGAAACAAGGGAAGGGTCCCAGAATGCCTCCATGAGGTCACCATCATAATCACCTTGGATTGTCATTTTCACAATGCATGAACAGCATGCATTAATATTAACTCACCACCACCAGTCATACTTGCCAAATGACAATGCAATGTCTCATTGTTGAAGAGGTGACCTTTTGTTGAGACAACAATCACATCCACATAAGAAAAGAGTTGAGGATGCATTACAGCAACTGCCTGGAAGCCCAAAATTATCATCTGCCCAATGTTTATTATTATTAAAGCACTACAAATACCTTTTGCACATCTGTAGGGACCTTACAGGGATGTCGTGTGAGCTTTAAATGATATGTTAATGTCTATTTAATGCATAGAGGTCCAGATTCATACCAGGACTTCTCCAAGAACAATCTCTGTAGGTCGACCACTTCTGTCGGTCAAATTCCTATAAGAACTCTTGATATGGACTTGGCCGGGCTCCAATACACCACAAGGATCTGTGCTAACATCAGATCAATGCTGTATGATTTAAGTTGTAGATGACCAACCTGGAACAACAAATGCCGTACATGACATGGGTACACTGATGTGGAATTTGTTCACATATGCGTCCACTGCTTTCTTGGTCACCTCCCTTAGCTTCTCGGCGAGAATCCGACACTTGTCTGGTGTAAAACCTGCGTCCAATAGTACAAGAGTTGTTTCCTCGAGCGACGATGGACATCCGCTCACTGGGTCTCCCCACCAAGGAGTCGAATGGTCTTGTGACGCCTCATCGAAATCATCAGCATCGTTGTCAGTAATCTCGGGAGATGATTTATCCAAATTGCGGTAGCCCTTAGCACGTGAAGAGCCCGGTGACTCTCTGGCAAGCCTGGCGGAAATGACTCCTCCGGCAGATGCAATATTCCGCCAAAGCTCGTACACAGATGATGGGTCAGTCCACATAGTGAGTCCACGGACCAGCTGGCGCACGCTGTTCTGCATCAGTTGTATGAATACGTGGCTTGGGACTCCATTTTCTGCCATGTTGATGATCGTCTCGGTTGACAGACGTGCTGGAGTTGAGAGTCTGCCGGGTTTCAGCACATCGATAATCAGTAGCGCGGGGTCAGGAGCACTATCATGAGCCACAGGGCCATGTATCTTGATCTGCGACGGACGCAGGACAACGGAAGGCACGGAAGATTTTGCATCAAGGAGCAAAAGACCCTGGGCGTCATTGATTAGTACTACCGTATGCTTCGTCAACATGCGACACGATCGAGATCCATACCTTGGCACCACCCAGTCGCATTTGCACCGCTGTAGGCTCTGAGGGCCAGCCAAGCCGTTTCTGCACTGATATGAGAACATTTGACGTGACAAGCCCACAACCGTCAGTCATGATCATCTCATTAGGGACCTTTCCAGCGCCACTGAATCCAGGGCACACTAAGAAAATATGAGCACTGGACTGTTATGATTCGAAACCATTGATCCATGATCATCCTGTGCTACGCTACGTATCGTAATGATAGCAGACATCGATGATATTGGAGCAATGCTCTCACGAGCGCTCAATAGAACATACCGATGTCATCCTCGGTTCCAACCTCGTTCGGGTCCAGCCGTATCCCAGGCACAGAGTTGGAGAGCCCAAGGGCAAACCGAGCGGCCCACTTCACCATGGTCTGTTCCACCCATCGCATGAGATCCCAATTCATTGCATTCGAAGTGATGCTTACTTGTTCCTGGTTCGCCGATGGATCATTATGCCATGAAAGAAACTGCGGTAGACTAAGCTCTCTGACTGAGTCCGAGCGCGATCCATTTGTGACGATTTCTCGTCCATCCCAGCGTTCACTTGTCCGAAAGAGGAACACAGTTCCTTCCTTTGCAGTGACAGCGCGAAATACCCAACTATGAATTACAATCGGCCTCGTGAAGAAGTCGACTAGTTCATCCTCGGTGCAGCGGAGATTCTGCAGCTTCGTGTAAATTTCCTGAGGAATGTTTACTCTAATGAACTGATAGGAGCCAAATCGACGAGTGAATCGGCATGATGATCCAAGTCTAGGAGGGTCCAAGGAAAAGGTAAAGCGTGGTCCCAGTTGTTGATCCTTGCCGTCAAGGTGAAGCGTGGCGATAAAGTGGACTTTCCCGCCATACCAATCGGGCTTATCTTGAAGGTACGGTTTGTCATCATTACAGCCAAGCCCACCAAAGGGATCCTGTTTGAAGACTTGTTCCTCCGTATCAAGCTCATCCCACGGTAACTGTTGATGCGATTAGGTATGCACAGTCATAGCACGAGAACGGACTCGCCTTTGCTGCTCGTTCCATAGCATATGCAGAAGCATATGGATCATCTTGCGTGGCCCGTATCGTTCGACCTCGCGCTATATCTTCAACTTGAGGTGCCGCGGCGGCGTTCGACCTCAGATCACGGAGCCTCTCCAAGGCAGCTGGGGTGAATATCTGCTTCTCAAAGCCCTTCGTAGCGAGACGTGCAATCTCCCACTGTACGCCATACGGCAAGTCTTCCATGATATCTCGGGAGTGATGCAAGTCAGCCTGAACTGTCAGTCTCAGACGCGGCATAGATGAGAATGGGAGTAACGTACAATTACAATAGGAGCCAACTTCTCCAAGGCAGCTGAGACTTTCTCTTGTAAGATTCTCGGTATTTTGGAAGGCTTTCCATCGAGGTTGTTGCTCGCCTTCCGTTTACCCTTGAAGTCACTGTTAACAACTTCAGTAGATGAATGCGGCTGTTCTTTCAGCTCTACATCGTCTACGCACCATTACTCAAGTATCATATGGTTACATTAGATATAAACTCACCAAACATGCACAGGAAAGCATCAATGTCCTCAATATCATCGAAGTAATTTGAGTCCTGGAGAGATCATGGTAAGACAGTCAGCATCGATCGCGACCACACACACAATGGTTAGAAAGAAACGTACAGAGGTTGTTGAACACGGAGATCCGGGTCCATTAATGTTCTTGATGTCCATGCTGCTGATGACACGGACGGTTGGGAACAATCCAATTTGATGGAGAGAGCTGAGAGTATCGTGGCCCCCTGAGTTCAAAACGCGACGCGCTGATACCATCTCAGTTCATCACAGAACGCGAACCACTGATCCATCATCGTCCTTAAGATCAGCTAGAGGACGCGTTCCATGTGGGTCACATGTATGGAACCCGGGCCTGGATGTCGAGTCAGCTTCACGTACTTCCTTATGTCGCAATCAGGTGAACCAAAATGTAGTTTATTTCATTGCTTAAGGTCTCGACAGCTATTTTCAACCGTGTTGGATAGCGCCAGATCCTAACTATCGCGGTGGACCTCCTTGCACCAGCTTCTTCCTCATACATTGCTCACCCAGATGATAGACGCGTGCGAATGGCACAGTGATGGCTGACAAGCGAAGGACTTCTTGAGCATGATCGGCCGAAGCGCGGAAGTTCTCAAATATCGCATGATTGTTGAGATCATCAGACAGCATGCCGTTCCCACTGCGTTCCCTCTGAGAGTTCCTTGCCTATGGCATTATCGTTATTTGTCTTGTAAGGTTGAGAAGCGAGACCATCCACTCACGCGGTGCCGCATCCACAGTCATGTCTTCGTCATTTACCGCGCGAATTGAATCAATGCCCAGTTCGTATGGCCCCTCCACGCCATTTTTTGCACCGAGTATCGAAATGCCAATCGTGCGAATGCGTTCTCGATACATTTCCAATTGTACTGGAGATACCTCTCCGGCGTTTGTCAGCACGAAGTCTTCGAACGGAATCTGTGAGAAACGCCGTCGTCAGCTCAGCTATACTGAGACAGGCCAAAGCGTCAGCAGAGTAGAAGAGGCTAACACCGGTTGTGCAGTATCACTTGACAAAATAGCCTTCGAGTTTGACGATGCTTACAAAGATGTCTTCCCAGCCTCCGTCATCCCGACGAAAGAACAAACGATGTTGCCAGAGATCGGTTTCGATAGGCCCGTCTGTTTGGATATTCACATAATATGAATTCCGGGTGCGGGGGTGGCCACCTGCTCGGAGGCGAAGCGCGAGCAGCCGATGCATCGAAACATCGTCGGTGATTTCCCCAAACAACGTCGTACGTGGCTATGTAGAAACCATCAGTTGTATTTTATATAACATCACGGAAAGGCAGCGTGCCTTACTCCGGAATGCAGCATAGCCTCCCCAAATCTGGTCTTCGTACCCCTTGCGTACGGCGAGCCTCATATCTCCCCAGAACTTTGCAGTAGGCCGGTGTATCTCTTTACCCGTCGGACTCATCGAAGCTGGTAGCACAGACGTTTCATCCAAGTCGAGGTGCACGGTGGAGGTGCCACCAATGTCTGCATCACATCCAGTAGCGTACTGCTGCATATCCTCTCGTGAATTGAACGTGAAGAGAGTTTTTGGCGTTCGAATCGGCTCGTCCGCTCCTTGCATAAGCAGGGCTGCGGCGCATGTTAGACGTGTTCGCTTTGATGTAGCTAGCTTACCGCGCGACGTGCTCTCTCGGAGCAACTTTCCGGTCCGACTGATTAATCCTGAGATACGAGACATCTCAAACACTGTTTTGTCATGTTCAAAGCAATCCGATTCCAAGCAGAGAAGTTGCGCACAATTCAGCTGCACGACGCGAAGGAAATGCAGATCAACGTCCAATTCAGACAGGAGGCTTGGCGATTCATGATGTCAGTTATCATGATGAAAATCGCATTTCCTTGACAAAAATTGACAAATATAACATATGACAGTATCGAGATAGCATTATACAATAACATGTAGATCCACATTTGTAATAATGCTACATTCTGTATATAATATTCAGCATACCACGCGATAGACACCGGAAAAAAATCCATTACAACGCTAAGCAATCAGTAAGGCAGTAGCATAACGGCTGCCCTTGGCCTAAGCAGCCATACTCCCAATATACGAGGACATCGCTACTTCTACTGCGAGGAACATGTAGACCAACACAAGTGAGCACTTAAAATGTTCAGTGAATTGGAGATTTCGATCCAATAGTACGGGAAACCAGGGCTGAAGGCTAGTAAGGCGGTAGACGCACTGACTCCATCCATACACATGCGAATGCCTCGCCGCCTGTGTGACGCCTTTGAACATGGCAGGAATGCGAACCAATGTCCGCTCGGCGTGAAGGAGTACAGCGTACGGCGACATTCATGTGTGGCCTGGTTCCGTGAGATGAGCGCAGCATTTAGTCGCAGCGAGCGTACAACCTGCTGGCAAGGTCCTTGTTTCAATATAGTAAGCGTTGATGACATTTCGCGCATGATGTGTTACATGCACTGGGAGCGCCTTTTCGGTTTGCTCCACGCACTTCCCAGATGCTCATATTCTCTCGCCTTATTCTGTCCATTCAAGCCCAGGGTTCCGCTTTTCTGGAGCTTCCTCTGCGACGCACTTCCACCGTTGCAAAAGAATCCAACGTTAATGCACCAAAAACAACAAGTTGACAGACGTATCCAATGTTAGAGCAATTGCTTGTATGTCCTCGGAGGCATCGAGTTGGCGCCACCATGTCGATTCAAGGACGAAGCTATATCTCACCTTGCAGGCGCTCTCAGCAGCGACACCGCACCACAATTGCTGTGAGGGCCCAATTTCAATTCAGCGTTAGCAAACCATATCCCTCAATAACAACGACGCCCACCAAATTACTGTACACGTTTCCGTAACGAGACTTCATCCCTGTACCAAGACACATTTGCGCCCACCGACCTCGACAGACTCCATGTTCTCCACAACAACACTGAGCACAGATTCCTGTCCAACGCTACTGTGCGCGCCATACGCCTTAGCAACATCCCACTCCGACCCCACCTCGTCCACTTCATCCGACTCGGGCCTTCCGCGGACCAGCTTATGCGCCTCCTTGCCACCTACATGCTCGAGCGGCACGAATGCCACACCCATGCCAGGGTCCGGAGTCTGAATAAGCTCCGAGGCAGGCGGCGACGGCGAGTGGTGGAAGGTCGGCGACAGGTGCATCGAGTCCGAGGAGCCTGAATCGGGCGGGCCGTCGCGCGACTGCCGCTCGAGGCTGGGGCTTGAGTAGCGGGACTCGCACGACTTGTACGACTCGGCCGTCAGGCTGACCGCCCCACCGCTTGCGCGCCCGGAGGATGCTGCCCTCGAAGAATCCTCAGATGCGCCAGACAAGACAGAATCGGCGCCAGGAGATCCTCCCTCAGCTTCAATGGGAGCAAAGGCACTTGTGGAGAGTATATGCGTGACATCCTCGAACTGACCCTCGACGCTGGGGGCATAGACCCGCCAGTCCGGTTGCAGGTTCGGCGTAGAAGAGGAGGGTTGTTGAGGAAGAGACGGAAGAATGATCTCAGTGGGCGTTGGCGGGCCCGGGATGACGCTGGTCTTCTCGTCCTTCTCGCCATACATGGATGGCACTTGCTGTGCCTGTTCTTCATCAGGATCGGCAAAGCGAACCTTCTTGCCGTTGCCCTTGACGCGGCGGCCCCGGCAGGGAAGCTTGCAGCGCATACAGACCATAGTGATGCCAAGCATAGCAAGCGTGCCAATGGTGAGGAACGCAGCCAAGATAGCAGACCGTCGCGACGTTTGGCTGGCAGCATTAGATGTGGTCCGAGTCTCCGCGGTGGGATTTGGATCATCCATGGAGGCAGAGCCAGTAACATATGAAGATGTGTGAGTCGAAGACACAGGGATAGAGGAGGCAGCGCTAGAAGTCTTCGACAGAGAGAGCACAGGTGGGAGACCGGTAGACGCAGACGTGACCGCATCTTGCAATACTGCCGCAGAGTCCGTCGATGTAGGAGGGACATAGAGGGTGGTACGAGTAGCAGCAGAAGTCGTCGGGGCATCCATCGGATCAGCCACAAGGAGCGATGTAGGCATAACACTGTTGGATGACTGTGCGGCAGTATTGGCAGATAAGGCAGCAGAATCTTGGGTGTCGCTGGTAGAAATGGGAGACGCGGAGACACCAAGGGCAGTGTCTGAGGATTGTGGTATCCGTAGAATAATCTCTGTTGTGGCAATCCAGGAGGGAGAACCGCCAGCCAGTTCGAAGACGAAAACATCAGCCGATGGCGCTGAGGACGTCGGTGGCGGTGAGGACAGTGAGGACGCTGGTGGCGCAGACGAAGTAGCCGTAGTCGTCTCGACATTGGGCGTAGTAGGGAGAACGCTAGGAAGCTCAATGATGGTCTGGGGTGCCCCAGAGAGAGTAGGTGCCGCAAGGATGCAGAGGGAGCAGACCGAGAGGAGGAGAACATGAAAGAGTGACTGGTGAACGAGAGACATCTTGACGAATGAGTGTGGGTGCCTTGTGGGCATGAGGGTGCGTGGGCGGAGAGACTGAGAGCAGCCTCCGGGTTCGAGCAAGTCTGTGATAGATTTGTACTGTCAAGATGGAGGCTGGCAGCTAGCTTCCTCCTGTGTCAGCCTTCCTGTCGTGCCCCATCTACACCACATGGACAGCAAGAATCGTCACAACTCCATGGAACAGGATATGACGCTGTGCAAAGCCTTCTTCACCGTGTCGTGGCAGCGCGAAAACGACAGTGTGTGCTTCCAAGGACGACCAACGAGCTCGAGAATTCGAAGCGATCTGGTGGAGTGCATTCGGTTCGGACGATCCGATCGTTGTTCACGAATCGAACCGAGCTACTAGCCAGCGCTCGAGTCAATGGACGTTTGTCAAACGCGCAACACGATTCGCCCGCCACTGGATTCTTCGTCCTCGTCCTCCAAGGTTGAGCAGTGCACAGACTGGCAGCTACTATGCGTCTGCCGGCCTCCTTCGGCCTCAGGCGTGCTAGGCGACTTGCGGCACGGTCGTTTGCCACTATCTCTGATGCGCCTCGCATTCCTCAGACGATCATCGAAAAGGTGGTCCAGAAGTATGCGGTCGATCTCCCGGAGGGCAAGGTGGTGAAGGCTGGTGACTATGTGATGATTCGTCCAGAGCATGTTATGACCCACGACAATACAGGCCCTGTCATATCTAAGTGAGTGTCTAAGAAGATTCTTCGGGACACTAGTTCCAAGTAGTCCCGTCAAGGAATACAATCTGCATCTGAGAGCAGACAGTGCTATGGGGCTTGTCTACGATTTCAAGATCGGAGACAACCCATAGCAAAGATGGCCCCCATATGCTTCCTCGTTGACTGGCAGAACCACTTATTACTGATATCCCAACAGGTTCAAATCTATCGGAGCCACGCGCGTGAAGAATCCTTCGCAGCTGGTATTCACCCTCGACCACGACGTCCAAAATAAGTCTGCAAAAAACCTGTCCAAGTATGCATCGATCGAGGCATTTGCACGGACGCATGGTATCGACTTCTTCCCTGCAGGTCGCGGAATCGGTCACCAGATCCTCGTCGAGGAAGGCTACGCATTCCCAAATACGATGACCGTCGCGAGCGACAGTCATAGCAACATGTACGGCGGCGTTGGGTGCGTCGGCACGCCAATTGTGCGCACGGATGCCGCTGCGCTCTGGGCAACCGGCAAGACCTGGTGGCAGGTCCCGCGCATGGTGAAGGTTGAGTTCAAGGGCAAGCTGGCTCCCGGGGTTACTGGAAAGGACGTCATCGTGGCACTGTGCGGCACTTTCAACAACGATGAGGTGCTAAACTCTGCGATCGAGTTCACAGGCGAAGGCATCTCTGCGCTCTCGCTTGACGATCGGCTCACTATCTCGAACATGACCACCGAGTGGGGTGCGCTTGCTGGTGTCTTCCCTGTTGATGATACCCTGCTGGAATGGTACGAGCGTGCGTTGAAGAGGCTCGAGTTGCGCACGTTCGCGTCGCCATCGCTCATGCCCTCAATCCCTCCTCCGCCGGAACATCCACGCATCAACCGACGGCGACTCGATCAGCTTCGTGCGGCGCCTATCCGCTCCGATCCCGACGCAACATATTCGTCCCACCTCGTCTTCGATCTTTCCACACTCGTCCCCTACGTTTCTGGCCCAAATAGCGTCAAAGTCGCCAACCCGCTCCCTGCGCTTGAATCGAAGCACATTTCTATCCAGAAGGCATACCTGCTCAGCTGCACTAACGCGCGTCTCTCAGACATCTCAACCGCCGCAGCAGTGATAAAGGGACATAAGGTCGCCCCGGGCGTGCAGTTCTATGTCGCAGCTGCGAGTTCGGAAGTCCAGCGGGATGCAGAAGAGCAGGGCGACTGGCAGACCCTGATTTCCGCTGGTGCGAAGCCTCTCCCCTCCGGCTGTGGCCCATGCATTGGACTGGGAACGGGTCTCCTCGAGGACGGTGAGATCGGGATTAGTGCAACAAACAGGAATTACAAGGGACGCATGGGCAGTCCGAAGGCACAGGCGTACCTTGCGAGCCCAGCGGTTGTTGCTGCCAGCGCGATCAAGGGTTACATCTGCGGACCGGATTCTCTCGATCCTGCGACTCTGCCGCCGTCGGGCGCACCAGCCGTTTCAATAATCACTCCCACCGCGAAGCCATCTAAGCATAGTCCCGCGGCTGCGCTGAAGGAGCCTGTTCTTCCCGGCTTCCCGTCGACGTTCGCTGGACCGCTTCTTTTTGCTCCGCAGGACAACCTCAATACCGATGCACTGTACCCCGGCAAGTACACTTATCAAGATGATATCACTCTCGAGCGCCAGGCCGAAGTGGTCATGGAAAACTACGATCCTTCCTTTGCGGGATTGGTCGCGTCCATCCGCAAACAGCAGTCTGCGGATGCCTCTCACCCGGACATCAAGCGAGGCGTCATCCTCGTATCTGGGTACAACTTTGGCACCGGCTCCTCCCGCGAGCAGGCTGCGACCGCGCTCAAGTCAGCAGGTGTGCCGCTCGTGATTGCAGGCTCGTTCGGCGACATCTTCAAGCGTAATTCCATCAATAACGGGCTTGTGTGTATTGAATGTCCCGAGCTTGTCGCGGATCTCACGCAAGAATACGCAAAAGATGGAAAACGCGGTGCGGGTGGAAAGAGTGGCGAGCTGACTGTCAATGAGGGGTTGATGGTCGACGTGAAAGTGGCTGACGGACGCGTCGAGGTCAGCTGGCCGAATGGGCAGAAGAAGACGTATGCGGTAGGCGTGGTCGGCGCCAGCGTGCAGGAGCTTTGGATATGCGGGGGATTGGAGGGATATGTTCTCAAGTCAATCCAGGCAGACAGTTGAGGCCTTACCCCACAGCAGAATATAAAAGTATGAAATATACGTATCACCATGTAATGCTCCGATCTCAAGGAAGGGATCGATCTTCAACATCTTAATCGAGCATTCCGGACCATGAGCGCGATGTCCGCTGCGCGTTGGAAATAAGGAGATGCAGAAAAATACATGATCGCGCATACGGCATGAACATAGGGTGCGGGACGGGGTAGTACGGCACAAGGAGGGTGAATGAGTCTATGCCTCGGTCAACTCGCGCAGACGGCGAATAGTGCTGCAGGCATGCGTCAACCGACCGATGCAGCTGTAGCAGAGGAAGAAAGGCGCACCTGCGGACTGTCGCAGCCGTTGTTGTCGCCACCGTCCATGCTCCCCCAGCAATCACCTTCTTGCAAGAGTTGCATTTCCAGATGCCGACTGCTTGGCGCTTGACAGAGTCCTGAACATGGCATGCAGACGAGTGAGCAGGAGACACTTGCAAAAAGTGGTTGTCGGACGCACCTTTCCGCAGAACGTGCAAGTGTATCGTGCGTGCTGGGTAATTTCCATCTGTGCGGGGGAAGAAATTAGCACGTACTTAAGCTCCTCGAAAGCATCCCAATGCGCACCTTTTTCACTTGCTTTCGCAGGGAGGCACCATAACGCTAACCAGGCCATCGTCCAAAAGTAAGTCCACCATGTCTCGCCAGCCACGCCGCGATGCTTCACTCACAACACCGTACTTTCCAGTCACGCCGACCTTGCGGGTTCGCTTTGTCTACATCAATGTTCCATGAGCATTACGTCTCCGCACAGCGCAAGCATGTTCTCTCGACTCACCATCTTGAAGTGTTTTGCTGAGGGTGCCGGACGTGCTTAGATTCGCCGTCGAATAGAACGCGCGCAATAGTGTGGGAGGTGCTGTACAGCTGCTTCAGCCACATTTTGCTGACATAACTACTTCCACGAAAGGTAATTAAGATACTTCGCTTTCGCTTAAGCATCGCCACATCGCTGTACTGTCAAAGAATGCAATTTGGATCGGCTATGCTAACGATACAGGTGGTATATGTAGATGCTACAAGAGACTGCGATAAATGCCAGCAATCATTTCCGTTTGCCTTTATTTTTGTGGGTGCCGCCCTTCGAGATGGTCTCAGTTATAGACGAGGGAGGCAACTCAATAGATCCTCCCGCTGCTTCAGCGACGACGCCATCCCCGCTCTCAATCTTGTCTCTCGCCTCCAAGAAGAACATCACATCGCGCATCTCGTCTTCCAGCTCGCGGACCTTGACCAGTGCTGCTGCCTTCTCCCGTTCTGCCTGTTCTGTCTGCTGCCTCGCCCTTTGCAGGTTCTCCATAAGGCCCTTGCTGACTGCGTGCTCTTCCTGCAGCTCCTTTTTCAATCTTTGTGTCAGCTCTGCAGCCTTTTCTGCACGCTTCTGCGCCTTCAGGATCTCCGCTTGCATTTGCGATGCACGCACATCCTCCTCGGCCCTGCGCAGTGCCTCCTTCTCACACGCGTCTTCCCTGCTCCTTTCGACTTGCTGACTGAGCTGTTCGACGAGTCCACGAAGTTGGTCCACCTGTGTTCGCAGTCCTGCCGTCTGTTCCTCATAGAATGCGCGTTGGGAGTCCAGCTGCGATGTCAAGAGATACGAGTATTCAATCCCGATCGCCTCGATCTTTTCCGCACTCAAGGCGTCCGCCGCACTCGGACCCACGCCGTTACTACCATCACCCCGGCTCCCGATTGTCGACGCGGCGGAGGGGAGCTCGACCAGTTTACCATCTGCCTTGTTCTGTATGAGCCTGTGGACGTAGCCGTCGCCTGCATAATCCCAGACACGCTGCGTCTCAAGCTCGAGAGCGTATAGATGGGTAGTGTTCATGTAATGAGCATGTGCATGTGCCCGACCATACCGTCCACAGCCAACGTTGCCGCAGACGAGGCAGATCCACAAGTTCGAGGTACTGCCACAATCGACACAATGCGATGGAGTTGACGAAAACGAGAAAGGTATAGGGTGACTTGATCGCCTGTTTATGGAAGGCGGATGCGACGTCAAGAGTGTCTGTGAGTATCGGCATACAGGGCATCTAATATATCCATAATCTGTAAGTTACTTCCTGTGATCGGGATAAAGGACTGCGTACCGACTATCGCCCCATTTGCTTAGGCAAGTGCAATGGAACGTATGCGAACACGGTACAGTGACCAGCCCCGTGACGGCAGAATCCATCCGTTCGAGACAAACCGGACATGTAGGCAGCTCATAAACGTCCCCACCTTCCTGCGTGGTGCCGATCCGAGCAAAAGTCTGGCTGGCCGGATCATCGGTGTCGATGGCTATTGACAAGATGCGCACGACATGACAGATCTCACTCTGGGCACATGGTCAGTGCATGTCAATGCCCACAATGGTAGCACTCACCTCCATGGAATTAAATGCTCTTCCATTGTAAGCTTCTGCAAACTCGGCGGCCTCGGATGCTTCTCTGAACTTGAGTACCACTATTGAACGATTTGGCGCAGAGTCTCTGAGCGATATCCCGTAAATATTATTTCGTAAGAGGTCAATGGGATACGATTAACGAACCGAATCATTCTCAAGTGTGAGATCCCCTCAGCAGCTGGGGCAACAAAGGCCAGGAAGTCGGAAGGCGTCATCCAGGATGGCACGGCGAGCACACCCAAGACAAGGTGTTTCGAACAAGCGTCCTGGTCTGCGTTATGCTCAGCATTAGATGATGGCGTGGGGGAGTGCTCCTCAGAGTTTGGCGGTGCCGCCGAAGATGGACCCTGCAGCGATTCTATCGGTTTCGATACGTCGCGGTAGATGTGGACAATACCCTCTGGGAGGTTTGTAAAGCCCGACTTGTCGCCTGCTTGCGTATGCGGGACAAACGAAGCGGTGACCGGGTCGCCTGCGATCCATGCAGATTAGCAAACGAGCGTCTGAGACTATCGAAAGTACGGAAGCATACCGCGCCCTCTTTCCTTCTCTTTACCAACACCAGTCTTCTTCATTGCACTCCCGTTCATATCGCCCGAAGTACAATCTACCCAGTCTATCTTGATGGGCCCAAAGCGATAGTCTCTTGGCTCAGATGGGCTCGAGATGTCCTCCGGTTTGTAATCGTTTGTAAGCGTGTACCGACGCGCCGTCGTCTGCGAACGATGCGACGGGAGAGTCTGAAACAGAGAATGCGGGATGTATGTCGCAGGTGTGGCTACCGAAGGTGGTGTGTACGATGTTGAGTTCGTCGGTGCGGGTGGCGAGGGCGGGCGGAGAGAGATGCGGATGTGATAGTTTCGCATAAAGTCGCAGTGTATGGCGTGCACTGTGCGTAGATAAGTGCGCAGTCGGTTAACTGAGCATTGACTCCGTATCCGAGGTTAGCACGCGGGATGATGGTGGACGTTTGGGTGAAAGTTGTGTAGGGGTCGATTACGTTGTGCCACCCAGGACCAGACCAGGGCTATCGCGGTGCTCATCGTACCATTTTGCTCTCTTCCATCTCGAGGACAGCGTCCGTTTGGTTTGTGAGGCAGTGAGTGCAGAATGTGGCGGTCTGCTCCTTGCCTGCGGGCGAGTACTTCCAAGACGGGGGCGCGGTGTGCCATGAGGCGAGGGACGGGATTGTGCAAGTCGTTTTCGAGGGTGGCGGTACGCCTGAGACCTCTCACATGTTTGCTCTCTCCTCACCGAACCCCAGGTTGAAAAGAACGGTCTTGTTCAGGTTCACCGCACCTTTGTAACCACGCCCTCTCGATGGTCCTCTACTGCCGCTGTCCTGAAACAAGCTGCAGATACATCTTCTTCCACCAATGCTCCAGTCTCCGCGGACTTGCCTGTGAGCAGGATTGACGACCGCCAGGTCCTGGTCGGTTGGGATGTTGCGACATGGTCTCGATAGTATGTGCCCTTCTCAGACCGCGCTGCTTTGTTCTGACCTTTCGTCCAGCCACCACATCTGGCTCCGAGATCACTGCCGATGTTCCCAGTGCTTTCATCCTATCACGAAACAACGACTCATGAATACGTTTGAGGCAGGTTTCGTGCAATCTAACAGTCTGAGGTACTTATGGTCATACAGATACCTCCCGATGTGAAACCTTTGCATGTTGAGTCAAAACCGGATGGTTTGGAGGTCCAATGTGAGCAGCGATCTAGCAATGTGCTGCACGCTAAAGTATAGAATTACTACACGTACAGGGCCATCCTCAAAACCTCATACCTCATTCTTCCCCTGGTCATGGCTGCGACAGAATTCATACGATCCTCAATTGATCCGTGCCTCAACAACGGAGTGCGTGTGTTTTATCCAATCCGTCTTCCTATCCTGCTGAGCTGCTGCAGAAAGATACTTTGGGGTTCAAAGATCCTGCAGGATCCACCCACCGTGGCATACGAAGAAGTTATGGCAGAAGATGAGAAAGGATTGTTCAAATGGCTTTCCAACATCGTTCGTGTCTGGACCCTCTTATTGGCGTGATGCTCATTTGATCGTTCTATCTGATCAAGGACAAATTTGGCTTCTGTTTCGTAACAGGTGTTCCACCGACTCCAGAAGCAACTGAAGAACTCTCCTGCCGCATTGGTTTTATTCGCGAGACACAATGTAGGGCCAGTCTCACTGATCAGTGCGACAGCTCACTCAAACATATTTGCAGATGGCAAGTTCTGGAGCTTCACCTCTGACCTGACGAAAGGCGACACCGCATACACTACTCTGGCGCTCGGTGCGCACACCGACAACACCTATTTCGTAAGCAGCTGGAGATTTATTGGCGCGCATAACCCGCTCACAGGATGCTAAGACTGATCCTTGCGGTTTGCAACTGTTCCATTTGCTATCGCATACCGACGGATCAGGCGGCGCAACGCTGCTCGTTGATGGTTTCTACGTTGCTTCTATCCTCAAGGAGCTTCATCCCACCGCATACTCCCTACTATCTCGCATTCGCGTTCCGGCGCATGCAGCTGGAGAGCTGGGCTCGTTGTACACACCCAGCCCTAGCGCTGGCTATCCAGTGCTTCGGCATGTCGATGGCGAATTGATCGAGGTTCGGTGGAACAACGACGATCGAAGCGTCATGAATCACTTAGAGCCCAGCGAGGTAGAGGAGTGGTGAGCGGCTTCTTGCCGCAATTCGCAGTGCGAAGGAACTAACCATGTCCTCGGATAGGTATGATTCAATCAGAAAGTGGTACAAACTCCTCACCAGCGCAGATTCTGAGTACTGGGTCCAGCTGTCGCCTGGTACGGCAGTAGGTAAGGATGACCTGTTCTACATTTCTCATGTCATCTTTTCTGATCTCAGTTGTGCTCGCAGTGGTCGACAATCACCGCGTGCTGCATGGCCGCTCCGTGTTTGATGGCAAGCGACGAATGTGCGGTGCCTACATCGGCATCGACGAGTATCGGTCGAAGCTTGCTGTCCTCTCGGAGAAGTTCACTCCAGATACGATCACTCGCGAGACAATGTCGTATGCTGGGGTGAATGGGCGTAGTGTGTGGCATCCGGCCTTGTGAACTATCCCCAGTTGTTTGACTCTGCTGCTCTGATGACGCTTCAGAGGATGGGCGGCAGGAGTGTTGTATAACTGCTCATGCATTGACACTCGTGTGTATGAATGCGCATCGCTTCTACTGGCCTACATATCTGGCGAATTGACGAGGAGATGCTGGACCCACCAGGTCATGAATATGTCTTGTTCTCCTCGAAAATTACACATTCTCGGCATTCAGGAAGCAGTAATGACCGCCTAGCGCCATAAAATGTCTATGACACGCTTAAACATCCTTTTTCTACCATCCTATGACACTTGAATGTTAAAGACGATTCTTTGGATTAATATCTCTTAGCTGGTAGGGAGCATGGCTAATCGACGGAGGAGGACAAGGTCTAGGGTCCGCCCCCTCGGTTCTATTCACGGAATCGAGAGCTCGTCTACACCGTGTGCAGCATTACTTGCAGAGGATCAACATTCAACCACAGATCCTCCCGCTCATTATGTGGTGTGTTCAAAGATTGTCTCAACCGTATGAATCTCTTCTGCGGTCAGATTTTTCTGCTGGGTGCTATGACGCATCTGTGTTCTCCTTCCTCCGTACGCAATTTTTTGACCATGTGGAGCATGGAACTAAGTGACGGTGCGAACTGCCTTTTGAAATCGTCTTTGCTTTCTGAACAGCGTTTACGGCCTCGCGGAGATGAGCGACCAGCGTCTTCGTGATCCATATTATAGTCATCTTTCCACTCCAGGGTCATTGTGTAAAATTCGTCAGGTTACGACTCACAGACTGGAGATCATGTCAACTGACAACATCATTGTTCAAGCCTTCAAATTCAGCTTCTCAACATTGCAGCTTCGCTTTACCGTAAGTGCGATGGAATCCGATAGGTAAGATATTTATATACCACGGCACTAACATAAAAAAAAGGAGCTATCGGATAGCACCAGATGAGCTGAATAGTGGCGAGTAGCGAAGGAGACATGGAATAGCGGGGACCTCACCAGGCTATCGAAGCACGTTTGAGGAGATGAGGCCGACAATATCAGCGCGTTGCACATTTCAAGGCATGTATACGCGCGATTACGAACATGTTGTTCTTTCCTAGTCTACGGGGTGCCTCAGGCGGCGCATGGAGGGAAGGTCAGCCACTAGGGGAGGCTGGCACTTGGGCGTGAGAGTCGGACGCTTTCAGCGCGAAGTGGCCTTCAAGTTTCTTTCTCGCTTCCATCTTCCAAGCTCATCGTAGTAGCTAGTCAGTGTAGGCAAGGAAATGTGTAATGGCTGCGTATTCGAGCGTCGTCAGAGTCAGTGACAACTTTGTGTGTAAATGACGGCCGGTAGCGAGACGATGAAGTCATATAGTTCCGCTGATGTTGATGATACTGCCTTTTTCTATCCAAATCTAAGCCCGGTGTGGCCCCGCTGCCTTTGAAAAGGACATTCCCTCAAGTTCAGGTTGGTCTGCCGGATAGAGGTGAGTCTCCCATGGATCAAACATGAATCTGCTTATCTTGTTTCGAACTCACTGGCCATGGCGTTTCCACCGACGCTGATCTTTCTTTCACGATCAGGCACGATGGTGGCATCGCTCCGAGCTTTTCGGTTATCCAGCGCGGCTAACCCCATTGCAGGCTTTAGTACATTTGCCTCCCCTTCAAGAATATGTATATGTCCCTGAGGGAGTGTATGTACATCATATGACTGAATTTCAGTGTTTTTCTGTCACCGTGTGAGGGACCGCAAGCCTGTCAGTGTGAGGCTGCGCGAGCGCGTAAACCAGCGCATGATCAGCCGCCAGAACGAGCGCCGCGTTACAGACTGGTCTCTTTTCGATATCATCCGTCTGCTGTGCGCAGAAGTAAACTAGATGAATGAGGATGCTCGCGGGAAGGGTTGGGCCCCTGTCCTACTGACCAGACTATAGAGGTTTTCCGATCTCCGTCCGGCTGTCTCCGGCCGGGGGCAGCAGGTACGAGCCTCGGCGCCACAGAAACATAGCAATACGAACTCGCTTATTATATCAATATATGTGGTCGCCTGTCCGCGCACGCTAGGCTCAATATCGATCCTTGCGATGCAGTGAGCGACACCGATATACCACATACTAGTACTGATTATCTGCATCCGGAAGCAGCCGGTATCGCAGGCAGCGCACAGTTATCGCCGTTCGCTCGGAAGAGGTTAGTAGATTGCCGGGGCTCATTGTACCTGTCGTACCAGCTGTGCCGTTGTTTGATTTCACCCTTCTGCCCTACGTCGCATTCGTGCCGCTCCTTAAAGTTCAATGCAGAGGTAAGATCCACGTTGTCATCGAACAGGTGTACACTGCGCTTCCATGGATTGAATCAGGCGTGTTACGCAGGTGAGCAATCAATTGTGACTGGAACAGGCTCGAAGGTTAGCCTGGGGATCATATTACGACTGTTTTTTGGCAAGCCCCTTATTAACACAACGATATCTCTACACTCTGATTTGCACTATCATGATAAGTCCATCCTATATCTGATTGATGCGTAGGTCAAGATCTAGTCAGATATGATATCTGGATGGTTGGATTCAAGCCCTGGCCGCTGCCCTTGGTCATCAAGCTGATCCGACTCGCCCTCCTATGCAAAGCAGACTTACCGCGCGCTGAACAAAACGTTGCTGTCGATACATATGTACAATGTGCATGCTGTTCTCACAGCTTAATATTCGCCTTGGATGAACGCCAGATCACTATCACCAATTTCTTCCTGTGCAAGAGAGATTGGGGGCGAATATACGCGTGAGTGGCGCTTCACGGTATTCCTTTTATCTTCTTATGACGGCGCTATTCCTAGAATGAAACGCTGCGCCATGCTCCTCGTTTAGGTCCTAGTAGTACAACTGGTTGAGTCGTGGTATGAGAATGTTCTGGAAATGTGGGCCACTTCCATTTCACTTTCGAACCACTGCCCCTTGCGCATTCCTACGCTTCCGAGGGTACTAAACGGGCAACTTGTACGAATCACATTGGACGCCACAGTGGTCGCTGCCACAGCCGCGGCAGCCTCGCTTCGCATGTGAGCCACGTTTATCTGTCTTCGCGATATCGCCATTGGTACGGTCCTCTCCCTGAAAAGTGACCGCCAAGCTATGTGTAAAAATTATCGCACCGTCAAATATGTGGATATCGTTACGGTTGAAGCGTGCCACACACTCGGTCCCGCTTACCTTCCATTCCAAATTCATCGTCCGTGCCTTCAGCTGAACAGCCATAACTCATCAGCCATTCCACCTTTGGGTTTCATGGCCACTGGCAACATGCATCGCTTTGTCTCGGCATGAAACTGTACGGCCAGGGAATGAAATGCCACCCCGGAACTTACAACAATAACACACAGTGACACACGTGTTGTTCGCCAGAATTGGGGTGGCCAAACTGGCACAACCCTCGGCGGCATATATATAGGTGCCTTTCTATCCATGACAGTGCCCCCAGCTTTCCCCCCACATCTCAATGGTGGCGCATTTCGATATGCTCAGCAGCGCTGCCTCCCAGAACGGACCTCCCTCTGACGTGACTGTGAGCGACTTCCAGCCGTATGTCGACCACGAAGGACCGCCCCCTGCCTGCGACCGAACCGCCCCATCCTACGATGCTGGCTCGCGTGCCGCAATAAAACCGATGACCGCATTGCAAAATGGACGTTACGGTGACGGCGAGAAGTATGTGGCCTCCGTCGATTCTGAAACTTCACCCTCATTCCCATACAGAGTCAAAATGAGCTCCATCCAAGTTGTTATCGGTGCACACTCTTCCATCGTGCAGTCGTCGGGGTAAGATGAAGCCCCACTGAACTATCGGCTCCCTTGACGCTCTTCTGCAGATCCATGGTCCTCCCCTCCGGATGGACGCGACACGTGCATCCAGAGGGCGCACCCTTCTACGTCAACTCGACGGGGCCCGTCTGCGTAGTAACGGATGCGCCTCTATATCGCCATGAAATCAGTGCCAAGATCCTTGCATCCATTGACGACATCAATCTTCTTGCCACGGAGAACGGCGTTGCTTTGCCACAGAATTGCGAACTTTACATTCACGTGGACGACAAAGACGATGGTTGCAGCTACTATTTTGTCGACCATAGTTGCAGGACGGGATTTTGGCTGAGCACTGTTGACTCTGAGAGCTTGGATATGCTTGAGGTTTCTTCGAAGGAGCACCTCAGTACGTATTCTGCATCGCACGTGGAATTTTCTGGATAATGAGAGAAAGCAGAGCACGTCCTGGAGGAACACTACTGGACTCATGTGGATTACTTTCCTCGCCGTCCTATTGCCGCTGCTGTCAAAGAGGAGTTAGAAGGAATTTTGCGACACGGTGCCATAGGTGCGTTTTTCCATTTCACATATGGATTGAGTCAGTTGATATCGTTGTTTTACAGACCAAATGTCCTCAGAGAGTTCTACTTTTCCGTACGGCGCGGAACAATGTATATCGTTATTACAGTTGATCGAAGGGAGCGGTGTGTCCTCATGAACGATTCTTTTGAGCTTGTAAAGCTGACATCTGCTCTGAAAAGATACGAAGAGCACATACACGACATGTATTATTGGTATTTCGCATGATTATGTCTCTTTCCGTTCTCATGCTGATTTCCTTGGCCAGCACGCGTTTGGGTGACGATAGGTATGTGTTCTTCCTCACTTCGTACAATCTCGCTGTACTCACCTCTACGCAGCTCGTTCCAGATATCAGAACTTTTATGGCCAAGACTATGCACGTCTTGGATGCTTGCAGAGGCGACTTGACCCTCCGGGTATCATCAGCACTCATGAGTGGCTTGTCAAGCTGTGCTCTTCCCTTCTCTTCGGGATACCGCGTACGATTGTGGTGCACCTGGAATTTCAATACGTGGACAATTTGGCGCGCCGCTCCCACTGGCAGAAGTTCATAGAATCTATTAAGCCTGAATGGATTCAAGTATCTGCTCTGGTGAGTGTTCCGACGTTTGTAAATGTATTTACAGCAGTGCTGAAGTTGCGACACCCGGGTTAGGCCGTAGCTGTGCTGATGTGAGTGTCTCGCAGCGAGAGCTATTGATTATTTCTGATGATATCGCACAGAACATCTGGAATATTCTTGAACTCGTCCGGAGACGCGCCTGCGAAATATGCACTTCTCATGTCGAGCGTAGCCTCCCTCAGCGGCGTGATGATCGGCTGCACGCTCCTACGCAGGTATGCGTATGCGCAGCACTGGACTGCGGAGGATGCGGTATGCAGTACATTTGGCTGCATTTGTATCTCACACTAACCTTGTCGTAGGCAGTACACCTGGATGCGTTCAAAAGCCGACGGTTCGGCTACCTTCCACTAGCGGTGGTCTTTAGCCTGCCACAGTCACTGATGATGTGGTCGCTGTACCTTCTAGGAGCGCATATTGCTATACGTGCTGTTGGCGTGTCAGAGACCCTCATTGAAGTTCTGGCTGTCATACCAGCCTACTTATGGCTACTTTTTGTTGCTGTGACGCTGGCGGGAGCAAAGTCACTGAGGGCTTACGTTTGGGAATGATTAACGACCAGCGTCCTTAACTCGTAATCGAACGTATTGGTCCTCAAATGTTCAGGAGCGGTGTAGAGTTAGCTGTTGCGCATATTATAATCATTCAAAAGTCTATTCTTGAAGCATGCGGCCGACAGCTAACCAGGGCTTTGCACTTGAAGTGACATCTACGGCTGTATCAGAGAAGAATAATCAAGGGCGGTATGTCATACGATCGTGGGAAAGGTTTAGAAAACGAATAAATAAGCTGTGAGGTGATCTTGTCTGCCACGTGGTAATCATGAAGCTTTGAAGCATGATGCACATGCATTGCATGGGGCAGTAAGGAGGAAATCGCTGTTTCTCAGCCGATTACCGAGAATATATTCAACCAAGTCAAGTGTTTGTCATACCTTGGTTGAATACGACTCACTAACTCGGAATTGGCAAAGCCGCCGTCGTCAAAGCCAGCTTGAACGAAAGCTCGCTATTGATGGCATCTTTCGCAATGACGACGCTTCATACATGGTGTGAGTGCCGTTCATACCGTACCTGAGTATGCGGACTGAACAACAGCGTGTTCCTCGCGTTCTCATGTGACCTCGTATGCATCTCACGCTCACCGTTCCGACGAATAGCTGGATAACATATCGACATTATCTAGAAGGTAGATCGTCAGGAACGCGCCTTCCTGCAGAATTTCATCGACGTATCTTTCTTCATGAGCATACCTGGTACGCAAGCCTTCTTCTCGATGCACTTTGGATAAGAAGATGCATGCAGCGAGAGCGGCCGTTCTCTCATTGCATGCATCGCCGCATCCTCCGAGCATCCTATCCAGGATACGATCCTTACAATACTACACCATGCATCTTCATTTGAGTGATCTACGGAGAAGTTCAATGCATGAATTGATGCACAGAACGAACGCACCCGAGAAGAGAGAATTATCATACTGATGCTGATTATTCGATCATCCTGCGCTCGTACTTATCTAGGTGAGGGCATGAAAGCTATGGGTTACGCACATGCGGCGTCTCATTGTGCCACCGGAAGCATAGCATCTGAGTGATGCTGTCAACGCCATTACGATCGTCGTGGCATCAGGACCTAAGCTGCAATGCCTGTAGACGTCCGAAACGGTCTGCATCAGCCGTGCTAGTGACAGGGCAGGAACGCAGCAAATCATACCGATCGCGCAGGCGAGAGATTACTACAGATGCGCACCTTCCTCACGCGATGGCACCGTCGGCCAAGTAGATGCATAGCGGTGGGTATGTCGCTTCCTATCCCATCACGGCCGCTTGTGCTTAAGATCGATCTATCGATGCTGCTCATATCAGCTACGAGCCTCATGTGAACAATCAGGATCTTCGTATCTTTTTTTCGTGAGTGGGCCCCTACGGGGCCCTTTCCTCCTGGCTCCATTGGACTCCTCCAATGAGAAGATGTATGCAGCGAGAGCGGCCGTTCTCTCGCTGTATACACCGCCTCATCTTCGAAGCGTCTTCCTGCATCCCAACCGTGCTACGAGTCAAGACCTAGCTAAGGCGAGAAATGCAAGTCATATATATATGCCAATCTGGAAGGATAGGATTGCAGTGGTGCACAATCCCCGATTATTGAGCCGCGTAAGTGCGGCATTCTTTGAGTTTGCGGCAGGGCATCATATGTCATCCTGTCTCTGCGCAGATAGTCCACGACACGAAGCGTAATCGAGGTCGACCGCTTCTGACCGCCGTGGTCAGTGCTATCCTGGTCCTATCCACCTGAAAAGAGATCAGGTCAGCACAAAGGCTCGGCGGGAAGAAGTGCGCAAGCCGAAATGGCACCGAACAGTCTCGCGTGGAGTGCAAGCATAAGCATGACGTCGAGCATGATGCGTATATTTAACTGTACGCGAAAACGTATGAGAACGAGTATTGTAGGAATGATGAGAGACGACGCATCTTTTTTCGTGAGTGTGCCCTGCGCGTCCCCTTCCCCGCCAGGTCCGTCGACGAGAAGACGTATACAGCGAGAGCGGCCGTTCTCTCGCTGTACACGCCACCCCGCCTCTGAACCAATTCCACCACCCACCATCCCCGCTCGAGAACGACTGTGGTGCGGTACAGAGAAGATGAGGATGCTCAGCGGAAAGGGATAGTGGAAGCTGAGGACGTACGCGCGTGCTAAAAGCGGATATCAACGGACTTCACTGGCGTTGTCGAAAGCTTTCATCGCACCGATCTACATGTGATGAGCCAGTGCTCAGTGTGTAGAGAGAGCGGATAGCTACTACGCGTCTTGCCAAATTGCCTGTGTAATCTTGCCTGCTAGACAACGCCTTGAGCCTTGTGGCGTGACCAACAGCGTGAACGGATCCTAACAGAAAGCTGAAGGAATCATTCAGCAAACTGTACGAATATTTAGAGAAAGCATAGGAGCATCAAGGAACTTAACCTCTCATCGGGGAAGCCGAGCTCACTGGGGTGATCAGGCCCTCCTTCGACCTCGTCGATGGCCAGACTACAAAGCAAATATCTTGACAGCACGAGGAGTGTTCGAAGGCCATTGTGTGCTTCGTCTGTGGACTCTTGCTCGATGCCTTGGCTGTTGCTATGCATGCTGTTTGATGCTTCGAGTCTCGACCGTTCGTCAAAGTCATGATGCCCCTGGAAACTCGAGAAATAGAGTTTCATCAGCGATGCGATTCAAGGTTGGAGTGCAGATGCAGAGATGGCCCGCGAAAACGGGCGATGCATTGAGTTCATCGGGTCATGACTCCTCCCCCAATGCATAACCAGTGCCGTGGGCCTTACCTGGCTCCGATCCATGGTCTTGCATCTTGCCACCGCGCTGCGCACCGTTCTCAATTGTTTGGAGAGGAAACGTAGCAAGCCTATATTTCTCGAGGGAGGAATGGGGTGTCAGCCAGCAACAACGAGGAGGAAGAGAGGGTGCGGGATGATAGAAGAAAAGAAATAGTAGTCCGATGAAGTGAGAAGAATAAAGAGACGATAGTCCGTGTGTAGGAGGGGATAGGAGATAGGTAGGTGGGAAAGGGAGGCGGGATGGGAGAGGTTATAGGTCAAGGATCATCCCCGAGGAATCACTCAGGCACACACCAAGCTCTAGAAACTCGATGCATACCCTCGTAGCCCGAGTCACCTGTACATTGGGAGGAGAGAGAGTTCACAAGAACGCACGACGCGCAATGTCCTCGCGCTGCTGCGCGACCTCAAGCTCCAGGAGCGTGTAGTCGAACGGCTTGAACCCCGGGATCGGCACCCAGTCGCAGGGGACACGACGAGCAGAGTGTTCGACCACGCGGATCGTGCGAGTCCCGCGCGCATCCTTCGCGTTCTTCGCCATCTTGAGGGTGAAGGACGCGCCGCTGGACGATAGCCTTGACAGGAGGGGCCTGCGCGTGGGCTTGGGAGGCGGAGAGCGAAGGAGTTTGCGCTCGTCCATCGGAGGGCGGGTCATCTCGGCAAATCGGACGCGGAGGGTAGAGGAAGTGGCTGAGGCAGAGTACGCCATCGCTATAGAGAGTAGAGGTAGTAAATGTGGGGGGTAGAATGTATGGGATGGTGGTGGGTTCGGAAAGAGCTGTGCTGCTGCTCTCGGAACGGGAAGCGCGGTTTTATATACTGCTGTTGCATCCCAGACTGACGGTCGGTGGGTGGAATGTATGATCTCGAATCTCGATCGGGATATGAAATTGAGATTCGGAATATGAGATCAACAAGATTCGATTGTAGATCTCGCGTGGGCTTGAAATTTGACAAATCGCTCTGCACCATCTTTGACTGGTTTACATGGCTTGTCCAAGGAACGGCTCATCGTCTTGTTGGCTTGCAATGATGATGCTCGGAAATATGATATTGAACGTTCAGTGCTGCACTGCGTGATCATTCAAGGAAAAGCCTCCACTTTTCCTCCTCGATCCATGGCGTCAAAAAGGATTTCTGTGCTGCGATTTATATTTAGCTCTCTGCTTTATCGGCGAAGCACTGTTTGTTCAGGTTTTGATGTAGACTGTTGGTCTATGCCAAGACGTCTGCCTCCGCATGCGGACTCCTAGGCCTCAGCAGCATGAGCAGGAGCGGCGAGCTCTTAAAAGGCTCTCGCGCTCTCTTTTGCACTCCTCACCTACTTGACATTGTACCATCACTGTCCACCGTTTCATAACCACCTCCACGCCCGGGCCCACCTACCCACCCACATCTATCCATCATGTTCTCTCAGATCGTTGCCAGTACCCTGCTCGCTTTGCATCCAGCTCCGAAGGCTATCGCGCCCGCTGTCGGGTTTGAGCTCCGCCGCTTCTCTGACCGCTGGGTACCTCCGAGCAAGACAGGCTGGTCCTGGTGCGAGGAGATGCACGTCTGGGTCCCCGAGCAGCTGCCCTACTTCACTGCCGAGATCGCTCCCAGCTTTCACGTCCCCGGGTCACCCAAGCTTGCTCGTCGCCCCTGCAGTATTGCGTCCAAGGTCGACACCCCCAGGAAGCACAAGGCTGCGACGAAGTTCTCCTGGGGTCGTCAGGGGCGGAAGACCGCGGGTGAGCCCAAGCCTAAGCCCACGATTACGGTCATCGGCACGGAGTGCGCCGTCAATGGCGTGTCCTTTGTTCGCATGTATCTCATCCCCGTGGTCGAGGCACAGCAGATCGAGTCGGCAAGGCGCGGGAACATGTCGTTCTTCCTCCAGGCGTGAATGACGCGCCAGGCGCAGCGATGGAGGGATCCAGGAGTCAATCGAGCTCGGACTTCTATTCCCTCTGCTGTCTTACCATCTAACCCATCTTTCTTCCTATTCTGAGCAGATCTCAAGGGCTAATGGAAGCTCTGCTGCGCGCGCACCATTCCGGAGGAATATCAGGTATGGCTTCCGCGTTAGCGAGGGCCTTGGATGAGGGAGTCATGACCCCGATGACTCCGGTGTCTGAGCTAGCGCTGAGGCCCTTTCAATCATTGCCTACCCCTTTCAACCGGGCTGATTTATCCTCCTCTTCTCGAGTTTCTATCCAGGTGTCATCAAAGTTCGTCGCTCGAGGACTACACTTCAGCTCCGCGCCGAGCCGATGGGAACGAAGAAAGTGTGGGATCCCTTGCGCCGGTGAGATCAGGGAGGAACTGATCACTCCAATGAACTGTATCTCCCCGGCCGGTACAGTACCCCTGTTACTCATCTTTCTTCTTTTCTTCTTCGTTCAGGCTGATCCATGCTATTTGCAGAATCCTGCAGACGAGTGGATATTTTCAGACAGTATCATCAATACTGCGTCAAATTGCACCTCTGTTGATTGACGTCATGTCTAGCGACAGATGTTCCTGCAGGACAACGTGGTCTGCCGGTCGGTCGGTAGAGTGGATTGATATCGTTGTCGCTCGCCACTGGGCTAAGGCAGATTGCTGATCTCGCCCACCTCAGATACGTCCGTCTCTCGCGGATTCTGCGCATTGTCCGGTTGTCTCGATCCCTCCTCTGTATGTGTCTCACATGCTGGCATTGGCGCTCTCATTCAAACGCAGAATGAGTAACCCGTATGGATCGAGAGGTGGGACGCTCGAAGACATGGTTTCCGTCAACGGTGGGCTCCCTTCAAGTCGCGAGGGCCTGGGCCCTGCGGTAACTGATAGTCAAATCCAGCATTTGCATTCTAATCGTGTACGCCAGTTTCTCCTGGTCGCTGGCGTTGATTGACATGTATCTGAGGTAGGCGTAGGGAAGAAGGGACAAGAAGTTTCCAGCAGTGCTGGGGCTGGTAACGGTGCTGCCCACGGCCCTAGGGAGCTCGGTGACGAACCCGTTGAAGAGCTGCTGGACGTAGCCAAGCAGGGCGCCCGAGGTGTTACATAGGTGCTCGACGTGGCCTTTGACCCTGGCGATGTACTGCACATTGGTCTCATCATCTCTCTGCATAAGGAGCTTCTGCACGTAGCAACCGTCGTCACGATCGAGGGCGGGGTTGACGTGCATTATCCTCTCATGCCCAACCCAATAACTCTCCCAGGTGTGGTGGGCGGCAGCTTATGCCAGGACTGGTGTGGGGGCAATAGCCGCTGCCCACCATGCCTGGGAGAGTTACTGGGTTGGGCATGATCAAGCATGTGGAACCCATGGTCTACATGACAAAAAAAAAGTTACAGCTGCCGAACAGGGGAGGGAATGGGTGGCAGGAGACTGGCCACCTTCTGCAGCTCATGACCTTTCTTCGACGGCAGCTGTGTGCCATAAGAAGATGCTTCAGGCTCCGGTACGTGGTCAATCATTTGAGACTGCAATGTAGAAGGGACTGACTTGAGCTATGACTTTGCAGATTACGCTTACAGATGCGACGTAGGACGAGTTATTGTCATCCGATGTTCAGGCTGGCACTGGTAGGTAGATTGAGCCTTCTTCTCTGTCTTTGCATTCAATTGTCTCGCAGGCAAGCAAGTCCGCATACGGATGGAACAGGGGCGAAGGAAGGGATCTGAAGGTCGAGGTCTCACATGGACGTTGTCTGCAATCTCTCTTCTCACACATACACGCATGACTCCTCTCCATGGCACTACTACACGCCGGGACCATCTCACACGGCCGTAGCTGGAAGGGTCGGGAGTGTCAGGACACAGACAGATCAACGACTGGATCGATGATACCCGCTGCTCCGGACGGCGTCCTCACTGAGGGCGGGAGCGTGCGCGCGTAAACAGGTCCCTCTCACCAGTCTGTCGGTTTGCTCTGTCGTTCTGTGCACCTTTCGACCTGGAATGCTTCGGCTTCGTGGGACTCCTTGCAGTGTTAGCTGCTGTATTGTCTCACTTGTAGATTACATTGTGCGCTTTTGCTTGATGAGATTTGCACTGGTATTGGACGGATTCTAGGACACGGGCGCATCAACACAAGACGGAAGCTAAACAGGTGAGTTCGCGAGAAGGTCAGACATACGCGCAGAAGAGTTTCTAATCGTACAGTCACATAACGATCATGAAGCGAGCAGCTCTAGAGGCAAAACGCACGGTTGATCTTAGGAAAAGAGATCAAGAACCTCAGTCATGCATTTCTCGTTTCGCAGTGCTGATCCTATAGTTCAATATTCCGCAACGATGCTCATAAAGCAGACAGATACTAGCAATAAGACTATATAAGCAAGGTCTAAGAGTGCATCAACGTGCTTTTGATAGTAAGTGCCACACACAGCCCTCTACGGCTTGCGGTCGCATTTTACGACTGTTGGTCGGGGCGCAGAGAGCGGACGACCTTGCCTAAAAATCGCCAAAAACAAAGTCAATGACCAATAACACAAGCACTGTGAGAAATGAGGCGCACCAGCTCTCCAGATCTCCTGGTTGTCGATCTCCGCGAGCTCCTTTGCAAGGTCCTCACGGTACGTCTTGCGGCCGTTAAACTCCAGGCTGCGGCGCGTCTCTGTACCATTGCGCACGCTCTCGTAGAGACGCTCAAAGACGGGCAGGTTCGTCTCCTCAAAGATCTTGGCCCAGTCGAGCGCACCACGACGCGCGGTGGTCGAGCATGCGTTGTACATATAGTCCATGCTACAGGCGAACGTAGTGAGAACGGTTCAAGGAAACTGAAAAATTCTTGGCGTACCCATGCTGGCCGATGAGAGGATAGAGCGATTGCGTAGCCTCCTCCACGGTCTCGTTGAACGCCTCAGACGGAGTGTGGCCATTCTTGCGCAGTATCTTGTATTGCGCAAGGAAGAGGCCTTGGATGGCACCCATCAGCTACAAATGATGGTGAGCAACGAAGGACTAGCAAAATGCCCAAATTATGGACTTACCACTCCGCGCTCACCGTACAGGTCGGAGTACACCTCCTTCTCGAAGGTCGTCTCGTACATGTACCCGGAGCCAATCGCGACACCGAGAGCGACCGCCTTCTCCTTCGCCTTGCCGGTGACGTCTTGCCATACGGCGATACTCGAGTTGATACCGCGGCCCTCCTTGAAAAGAGTGCGCACGGTGCGGCCTGAGCCCTTGGGCGCGACGAGGATAACGTCAACGTCGGGGGGAGCAATGACGTGCGTGTCATCCTTGTACACGACAGAGAAGCCGTGCGAGAAGTAGAGCGTCTTGCCCTTGGTGATGAGAGGCTTGATGGTCGGCCATGTCTGCGACTGCGCGGCGTCTGAGAGAAGGTTCATGATGATGGTACCGCGCTTGATCGCCTCCTCGATCGGGAAGAGAGTCTTTCCCGGAACCTACAGAATAGGATCAGTGAAAAGCGCGAGTCTCGCGCAAAGAAATTAGCTAACCCAACCATCTTCGGTGGCCTGCTTCCAGCTCTCACCGCCTTCTCGAACACCGACAATCACGTTGAGGCCGTTATCGCGAGCGTTCAGGCCCTGTCCGTGGCCCTGAGAGCCATAACCAATGATGGCAAGGGTGTCGTCCTTGAAGTAGGCCTGGAGCTTCGCGAGCGGCCAATCGCTTCGCTCGTACACCACCTCCTTCGTGCCGGCAAAGTCAAGGGTCTTTATACCACGCGTAGACTACAATAGTGAGTGTCAAAAATTCGTTTGGTTTCTGTAGAATGCACGCCGAGAGAACTCCTCGGTTCATGGGGCACATTGATAACTTACAGCGACGGTCCTGCGCGCCGAGGCAGAAACGGCATTCCTCGCAAGGATAGAGTACGATGCCGCTTGCACCTGCTTCGTAGCCTTTGAGGCCGCACGCGGGGCACGGCGAGACGCGGCGCGGAGAGCCTGAGCAGAGCGAGCAGCAAAGGAGGACATGGTGGGTGGCGAGAAAGGTGAGTCAATCTGAATGAACTTTTGGGAGTTCACAAGCGCTCGAGTCACACCCTGCATGGCGCGCTTATGACAGACGCCCGGTACGATTATCCCGCGGCCGGCTCGCATCGAGTCCGAGCCTCATGCTCTCAGTGTGCAAAGACAACATCCTCAGAAGGAGCAAGTACTGTCGGCAACCCTAACGTGTTCTGCCTGTGTTTAGACTCGCGACGTATCACCGCGAAGTGATTGAGGGTCGAGAAACATGTAGATACTAGATCGGAGCTCAGGTTGATTGAAGAGACTGACGGTGTCACATTACTCAACACGACAACCGAGTGAATTACACAGTACATCGTACAATAGATTACAGCTCATGCGCTAGCCACCTCGGCAGTAGAAGAGGCTACGGGGACCAAGTCGGGAGTAGTAACAGATGGCTCGATAGTCTTCCCTGATGCGGAGGAAGCGAACTCCACCGCAATGGAAGCAGCAGATACAGTGACCACGGCCACGGACTCTGCGGCGTTGGCGATCGATTCCTTAGCAAAAGCAGCCGTTTCCATTGCTTTATCCGACGCACGAAGGCTGTGCGAAGTTTTAGCTTTCTTCTTCTTCTTGAGCATAGCTGTCGGACAAATGTCTTGTCAGCAATCGCAGAGCAGGACGGTCATTCAATAAAAACATACCAACGGTAACGGCACTCTTCACGTTGTCGACAATCTCCCGACTCTGCTCTAGATACTCGGTGTCGTCGAAGCGATGTTTCTTGCCCGCGAGCGGCTCCGGCTCAGAGGGACCAGCACCATCCGCGGCGTGAGTGATACCAAGCTTCCTCTCCAGCGCCTCCAGCTTAGCCCTCTTTGCCTCCTGCTCAGCCTTCTTGCGCAATGGCTCGCTCTCAATGTACTCCGCCAGCCTGCGAGAATGCAATCAGTCAGCACAACGCCTCAAGCTACGACATGACTGTGACATACCTCTTCGCCTCCTTGATCGTGCTGAGACGTCTTCCACTCAGGTCCCTGCACGAGTCGTTGTTGCTCGTCTTCTGGCTGCTCATGCGGCCTCCGGCGGCACGCAGCTGCGAGCCGAAACCGCCCTTGCCTCCTCTGAGCCTCGGCACGAGACGCAAGCTGACCAGGGGCGTCCCATCGTTGGCGTCTTGATTCAATGAGAAGAGAGAAGAAAGAGGCGCGTCGAGCGCAGGGGCACAACCGCGGTGGAGCGAGAGGACGAGGTCAGAGGGGAGCTCGGGGTAGCGCTCTGCGAGGAGGTCGTAGAGCGTCGAGAACGGAGCGTCCAAGGACGCAGAGAGGGAGAGTGTGGGGAATGGAGGGAAGGTCGAGATGAGAACCGATGCGGACATGATCATTAATGGGAAGTCCTGGAGGAAGTCTAAGTAACGGTTGCTGGACGAGTGTTATCTGCCACCGACGGTGGGGGCACAGAGCCAAATATACACATACAAAGGCGCTGTGGCACTACATTCACGTGATGCGGAGTATACAAGCGCCCGCCGTCGTCGTACGCCACGGTGAGATCACCCATCGGGGCTCTGTAACCAACCCGTACGCCCAATCTACTCAGCATCGGAGGTTTCAATTCGAGCAACATGGCTTCTTTACCCTTTGCTGCGCTGGTGCGCAGAGACATACCTGCGTCCTTCCGGTGGCCAGTCAAGTTCTGCCTCTCGACGACCTTCATCTCGTGGTTGCTATCCGTCTTGACCGGGAATGTCTCTCAGGTCGACCGCGTCTGGACTTTTCTTCCGACCATATACACCGCGTACTATGCGCTGCTGCCCCTCTGGCCTCATGAGCCGTTGATGCCGTTGTGGCCGTACACTCCCGGGGTCATACACCACGCTGTTACGGAGCGGTACAGTCCGAGGGCATTGTTGATGTTAGGTCTGGTGGTATGTGTTCAAATACTCTCAATAGACTACGTTCAATTGAACTATCTTATCTCCATTAGGTAATATGGATGTTCCGGTAGGCCTCGCGCTCGCTATACTTAGCACGATGCTCCTACTCACGACGCACTCAGTCTCTCATACAATACATGGAGGAGAGGATTGTTCAATCTGTAAGTTTCATCGTTCATGATGGTTACGTTGACTCATTGCCCCTATCAACAGCCACGATGAAGATTACCGTTGGCAAATTGTCCGAAACAAGATACCCCGCTGGTTGTTCAAGATCGTCAACCTCGTCTTCATAGGTAAGATGATAATCGCGATCCCTTTTGACATGTGCTGACGCTTCTTCAGCCGTGATTCAAAACATCATCCTCTTCCTCCTTGGAATCCCCACGCATATCGCCACCTTCCAGCAACCTGCCCACCTCAGCACTTCCGACTATATTCTTGGGGCCCTCGCGCTCATCGACATTGCCCTCGAGTTTGTCTCGGACAATCAGCAATACTCATTCCAGACGTACAAAAAGACGGGCGTTCATGAGAAGAACGAGTGGATTGGTGCGCGTATCAAATGGACGCCACAGGATGCTAAGCGTGGATTCGTCACACGTGGGCTGTGGGCTTGGTCGAGGCATCCAAATTTCTTTTGCGAACAGACCTTCTGGGTACGTACGCTGCAAATTTGTCTCAATGTACCGCTGCTCACAACGATATCATATCACTGTGCAGGCTCTCATCACGTTGTTCCCCTTGCTCGCACCCGAGTCACCAAACCTGCCCTCTCTCCCGACAACATCCATGACACCTCTGTGGCCGCTTACGCCCGCCCTCGTACTATGCATACTGTTCTTCTCCTCGACTCGCTTCACTGAAAGCATTTCGTTGTCGAAGTATCCTGAGGCGTACAGCGCCTATCGCGAGCGCGTCGCGATGTTCGTTCCGCTGCTGACGCCCGTGTGGGGGTTGCTCTTGCAACTCAGAGGCAAGAAAGCGCAGGTGGATGAGATGCTTTTTGGACAAGATGAGGAAACGAAGAAGGAGAAGTGAGGATGGGGGAGATGATCTGCCGTCGTGCATGCGGAGGTTTGTTTTTGGACTTTGGACTTGTGATTGACGTGAACTGTGTAATATGGCCTTCTTCGTTGTCGCAATGGAATGGATCGGATATTGTATTGTTTCTTTCGCTGATGAATAGACTCGATGGGAACAGTCGATACACATTTACGTGGCCATCCCGGTTGCGCATCGGCTATCAGATAGATCGGGCGATGAGATCTATCCGGGATCTGATGCTCCCCGGCTTTGAGATTTGAGATTTCCCGATAATCGATCGACGATCTGTCCGACGTGTCCTTCGGCCGGCGCCTTTCACATTTCTGCGGCGGAATCTGACTCTTACGATCTTTTCGTCATGGATTGAACAGCTGCTTATATCGCTTAACGCTTTTGATCTTCAATTCTTTGCTACTTCTTGATTCTGTGATATGTCTTCGCTATTCAAAAATCTCCGGATCCACCAGGTCTTTGGTGCAAACACAGATGTGGGCAAGACCATCCTGACCACTGCTCTTGTCAGAGCATCTGCATCCAAAGACGTGCCTGTGCACTATTTGAAGCCAGTTAGTACAGGGCCTATGCAGGATGCCGACGACAGGTTACGTTCGGATCCAACATCGCGTTGCTCGCAAAGCTGAACCGAAACCTTTGCATAGGCATATCGAGTGCTTTGCTGGACCGTACCGGGACAACGTCCACACTGCTTGTCTGTTCCGATTTGACGAGCCAGTCAGTCCGCACCTCTCAGTGCTATTAGCAGGACAGAAACGCAATCGTGAGGTATGTCCTACCCTCATCGAGCTCCTGTGCATGTTAATGATCCAGATGGATGAGCAAAGGTAACTGCTCCCACCGATGCAGAGTTCGTGACAGCGGTGGCACAGCACATCGAAAAATCTGCTTTCCGGTTTCCAGGCCCGGCACATATGTATGTCGAGACTGCGGGAGGTAGGGCACGTTCTCCATCGCGTCGTTCAATTGTGTTCTCAGTCAACCCACATGCAAGGCGTTCACAGCCCGACACTATCTGGAACAACTCAAGTCGACGCCTATCGTCCCTTATTCCTTCCCACCATCCTTATCGGCGATTCACAACTTGGAGGCATATCCACCACCATCTCTTCCTATGAATCCCTCCTTCTGCGCGGCTACATCATCGACCTAGTCCTTCTCTTCCACGATGCTTACTATCGTAACTACGAGTACCTCATCCCTTACTTCGCAGAACGTGGGATTCGTGTTCTATCTCTTGACCTGCCCCACAAGCGTCTGCCCGATGAAAACGAAGAGCAGAAAGCGATGAAAGGCTATTACGAGCGGCTGGCGCCCGAGCTGAAAAAGGAGGGAAATATCTACGATGCAGTAGACCACCTCGATGACTGCCATGCTCGGAGGCTCACAGAACTGGAGTCCATGCCCCGCCGCTCGCTCGATACGTTCTGGTGGCCGTTCGTCCAGCATGGACTCGTGCCCTCCGAGGCGGACGTAAACGTCATCGACAGCGCATCTCAAGACTTCTTCTCAATCTACAACGGGAAACGTGCACCTTCACCCTTTGCCACGTCCGCCTCTCCGACCTCTTCAGGCCCCACCTCTCTGCTCGAACCTCAATTCGACAGCTCCGCCTCCTGGTGGACCCAAGCGCTCGGGCACGCCCACCCCTCGCTCACCACTGCAGCCGCGCGCGCCGCCGGCCGCTACGGGCACGTCATGTTCCCGCAAGCGACGCACGCGCCCGCTCTTCGCCTCGGCGAGACGCTCGTCCACCGCGGGCCCGGTGCAGGCTGGGCCTCGCGTGCGTTCTTCTCGGACGACGGCTCGACGGGCATGGAGGTTGCGCTGAAGATGGCGCTGCGCGCGTATGCGGTGCGCCATGCGGGAGAGATGGGCGGGAGGAGGAGGAAGGATTTGGGGATCCTGGGGATGAGGGAGAGCTATCATGGGGATACGATCGGCGCGATGGATGCTTGTGAGGAGGGCGTGTATACGTGTGAGTGGCATGAGGCGAAGGGCTTCTGGTTGGATGCTCCGACAGTGTCGAACGTCAAGGGCCGGATTCTCGTGACCCTTCCTTCGGCCATCATCAAGACGGTGGAGGGTACCGATGCTGCTGACATGACAATCGGTTCGCTGAAGGAAGCATACGACGTCAAAACCCGTCTGCACACTCCACTAGCAGACATCTACAGGCGCTTCATCGACCGCACCCTCACCAACTTGCGGTCCAACGGCGGGCCGACCCTCGCCGCGCTCGCACTCGAGCCTCTCGTCATGGGCGCCGGCGGCATGCTCTTCGTCGACCCGCTCTTCCAGCGCGTCCTCATCGACACCGTGCGCGGCGCCGACCCGCGCCACGCCCCAGGTGAGTGGTCGGGGCTCCCGGTGATCTTCGACGAGGTCTTCGCTGGACTTTACCGTCTCGGCGTGCGCAGCGCGGGTCCGCTGCTTGGCGTGCACCCCGACATCTCCGTGCACGCGAAGATCCTCACGGGCGGGCTCGTCCCGCTCTCCGTTACCCTCGCGTCTGAGTCGATATTCAGGGCGTTCCAGAGCGAGAGCAAGCTGGACGCGTTGCTGCATGGGCATAGTTATACTGCGTACCCCGTCGGTTGCGAAGTGGCCAACGAGACGCTGAAGATCGTCGAGAAGATGGCCGAGGGTGAGGCGTGGGACGCTTCGAGGGCTAGGTGGGGAGCTGCGACATCTGGCGCGGAGAAGGCGAAACAGGCATCGGCTTGGAGCTTCTGGGACCCCGCCTTCGTGGACAAGCTCGCACGCCTCGAGGTGGTGGGGGAGGTCACGACCCTCGGCACAGTGCTTGCATTCAAGATCCAAGATGACGTAGACGGTGATGCTTACCTTTGTGTCGATCGTCAAACGTAGACTGACCCGCTCTGTTTCGCCAGGATACCGCTCCAACTCTGCGCAAAAGTTGCTCGAGTCCATGAGGCTAGGCATGGCCAGCGAACAGACCTCGGCAGCCCCTGGAGGCGCGCCGTTCGGGATCAACTATCGGACGCTGGGCAACGTCGCGTACTTCATGCTCAGCCTAAATACTTCCGAGGCGGTTATCCATGCCGTTCAGGATAGGATCTTGCAGACACTGCAGAAAAAGCCCTCCGCACTATGAGTATTAAAAAAAAAGGAGACGGTCGAATACAGGAGATGTTTACTTCATTTTGCTTGGTGATTAGTACTGGCACCAGGACGGGAGTGCTGAATGAAAGGCGATGGTGTCGGTACAGAGGCAGCGCTGGCATCATACGTCGAATGTATCATTCTGTTCGCGAAAACGTATAGGGTATACAGGTAGGATAGCGGTGGAATATGCCACAGGCGTAGAAACCGATAAAACAGTGTACATCTCGCATTACACGTGTGATAGATCATCGCTAAATTTCCGCGAAACATAACGTAGAGTACCATTCACAAGATAAGATCAACGCTTCATCGCCTCTGCGCCGCCTGGCTGTTCCGCCTCGGCACGTACGATCCCTCCTCGTCTCCACTAGCCATAGCCCCTCGCACGTACCCCACGCCCATGAACACTGGCGCGCCAGCAGCACCGCCGCCCTTCATGAAACCGCGCTTCGTGCTCCTCGTACCCACGCCAACCAGCTCATCGGTCTCAATCTCCATATCCACATCAGCATCTTGGACTACTCCGCCGGTATCATTGCTCCAGAGACCACCGTCTGCTTGACGGAGCTCCTCGTCCAGGGTGCGTGGTCCCTCCGCATTGTAAGACGTCGACGCTCCCCAGGACGGTTGGGCGGGAACCGGTTGCAATTGCGACCCAACTTGCGAGAAAAATGCCCCAGGATCGCGATCGCTCCTCGATGGCGGCCGCGATTGGCTCTTCGCTCTCGCTCCCTGGCCAGCATGGACAGGTATCTGGGATGCACGAACGGCACGTTGAGACGCCTGGGACGCAGACGACGTCGCAATTGGGTCCTCCCTGCCAGACGCTTCTCGATTCTGCTTCTGCGAAGGTTGACGATTGCGCCTAAGCGGACGGGTACGCACCGGACCCGGAGGAATTGGCGATTGAGGAGCCCGGCACACGGAAAGGTCGATAAAAGGCGCTGATTGCCCACCATTTTTGCTTCTTCTCCTCAGGGCGGGAAGAGGCCGCTCAGGCTCGGGTTGTGCAATTCGGGGCGACGGAGATGAAGGTTCGGCACGCTCGTCAAGAGGCATACCATCGGATACTTTGTGCGGCGGTGATGACCTTGGTGACTCGTGCGCTGCAGAGTGGGGCGGAGTGTGTGGGAGCTTGTCTTCGTGGTCATGTTCGTGTTCATTCTCATTGTCCGAGCACAGTGATGGAGTTGTGACGTCCGTCTCTGTCGGCGCCAATGACGGCCATGGTCTCAGACTAGGAGGGAGTGCCAATGTCGATGTCGACGGACCAGGTTCAGTCGACTGTGAGTCGCAAGAACCTTGCGAAGACGAAGACGCAGCAGATGACTCCGGCGCTGCACCAGACAGTGTAAATGTCGTGAGCCGCCGCTTGGACGGCCCTTCCGCACGAGACCCGTCTCCCGCAAACGCAGCATCTCGCCTCCTCTTCTCTCCCAACCTCGCCTCGACCACACTAAAGGACCTCTCACCGACCGCATAACCACGCTCATCGATGATGCCCGTGCTGCGGCCGCTCAGAGCCAACGGAGGCGGGGGCATGGAGGCATTGTCAAATGTGCCCGTACTGACTTTCCTCAGCTTGGCCGTCCTCACCTCCTTCAAGAACGTTGCCATCTTGTCACCAGCGATATTCACGGTAGGATGGCCCGATCGCCGTGTTCGTCCGGTGACGTCGTTGATGGGTGCCTCTCGAGGTGGTGTGGTAGGTCGGAGACTCTGACGGGCGGTAGCAAGGAACAGGTCGGCACGTTTGGAGATCGGGAGCGAATTCGAGCTATTGGCCATGATGCTCGGATCGTCTGGATCGAGTTGGAGAGCTGAAGGTGGTGGTGGAGGCGGCGGCGGCGGAGGCAGCTGCATCGACGTATCGTTGCGCTGTGCAAGCTGTAACCAGCATCAGCACGAGCGCTCAGCCCACGATTGAACATACGTTACCTGCGCCTTCAACCTCATGATCTCTTCTTCGAGCACCTTAATTCTCTGCTTGTCACGCGCCTGCTCTTGTTCGTCCCGTCCAGGCTCAACACGCATGTGCGCCTCGCGTGCCGCACGCAACTCCTCCTCCTTCCCGCGGACACGGACCTCTCCCGAGGTATCGCACGCCCGTTCCTTCCCTTTTGCCTTGGCAGATTTCGCTACCATCGATGTGCCACCTTCCACCGATGACCTCCCGCTACTCCTCGCTGCGACGGGTTTCGACCTTGTGGGAGGGTTGTTAGACTTGCGAGAGAGTTCCGCGTCGAGATTGTTCAGGGCCTCCTCGGTCGACAAATCGTCCCATCCTTTTGCCTTCGTTTTCCGGGTCTCATCAGCTCTCCTGTCGGCTGGGGTGGCACTGCCCACGGAAGGGGCTTTCGCATCCCGGCGAGCATCACAATCAGCCCCTGTATCACTTCGACTACTTTTCGATCCCCTCCGTGAGATATCATTGGATTTCCGGGCGGGCTGAGGTGTAGGGAGATGCGACGGTGCTGGAGTCTCAGCAGAAGGACCGGGAGAGGGCGGTAAGACCCCCGCACGGCGAGCCATCTCCGCCGACATGGGATCGGGCATCAGTGACTCTGAGCGGGGGAAGAACGAGCCAGGCATGGTCGCAGGGGACAGCGTCGCCACCGCGCCAACAGCTTGCGAAGGAGCAGTGGAGGGAGGGCGGGAACCTGAACCTATTGTGATCTAGTTGAACATACGGGCAAGACGCATCAGTGGCCTGCGTACCTTCGCCAGACCCTCCACCACCAGTAGCCGGTGTAGACGTCCCCTTCGTTGACCCAGATTTCTTCTTGTGAATATGCCTCCTGGGAGGGACCTCAGTGTTCGAATCCCTCTCGCTCGAATCCGCCCTCTGCCTGCTTCGCTCCCCATCCCCCTCCCCACCCGAAACCTTCCTCGCCACCCGCTTCCTCTTCCCCTCCTCCTGCCTAGCCTTATTCTCCTCAACTACCGGTGCATCATCGAGCTTGACGCGCGACGTCGACGGCTGTGGCCGAGCCTGAACCTACGCGCGACGACGTTCAACCACACACCCATCAAGGATGTGTTCTCGACGCACCTGCACATTGCTCCCGCCCTTCGCCGTCGTCACGAACGACTCGATCTCGCGAGTCACGAAGCTGAACACATTGGAAAGAATCCCGCTGGATGGTGCGGGTTGAGGGTCGCGCTGCCTAGCTGCCATGGATGAGGTTGTCGCGGTGAAGGTCAAAGACGGTGTAAACATTCATCAACAGCGCCACGCGTGTCACCCACGTGCCTCGCGTCGCGTCTCTCGGTTGAACTTCGTGAAAGAAACTGTATATACAATTAGGTGTCTATCATACACGCAGCATCAAGGGCAGGCGTCAAGCGCGCACATACACATCAGGGGAGGGTCGTGCACATCGTGTGGTATCAGTCCGTCCGCGTAAATAAACTACATACAGTAGATCGCCTTCCGTCCGTTCCCCTCCTCCATACATTCCTTTTTACGAGTATCCGCCGTACGAGTAGCTCGGCGGACCCGAGTGTGCCGCAGGCTGCTGTCCCGCTGCGAGCGTCGCGCGCACTGCCGCATATGGGTCCGCGTACTGCATCGTTCGGCTCACCCGCGGCATGTCCGACGTCGGCGAGCTGGGCGTGGACGCAGCCGATCCAAACCCGGTCGGCGTGGGATCAGAGAATGCGCCGTACACGTCCATGCTCGGGCGCGAGGGAACAGGCGCGGCGTACGAGGCCGCAGGCTGTGCAGGCGTGGGAAGCGCGGGCGGCACGTACGCGGTGTCGAATGTCGTCTGCGAGGCATTCGACTGTGCGATGGGCTTGCTGTACTGAGACTCCTGGTCGTCGTAGTCGCCGTCGCCCTCGGCCGTCGTTGCCACCTCAGAGAACTCGGTAGGATGTGTGAAGGGTTGGTCACGGGGCCGCATAGAGCGCCCATTGCGCCAGTCGTAGATCGTGAGGCCCAACGAGGCCAACCAGAACGCTGCCCGTCATGAACGATAAGGAAGGATCTCACAATCAAAGTGCTCGCGACGAACCGAATGCTAGCCAGAAGAATACTGCTCCCGCTTTTTTCGTACTGCACCAGCCGCTCAACTCGCTCCGGAATGTCGAGCCCAAACTCTCGTGCGGGTCGTTGCTAGCATTTTTGCAGCCAGGCTCTGTCCAGGCTGAGATCGTCGTGATAAAGCTATAAGACGGTGGTCAGAACAACGTGCCAGCGATGCGACCTGCTCCACCTACGCGATCAATAAGCTGAAAGTCGTGCCTGCTGAGATTAGGATGAAAGCGACCCGAGTCTCGCTCAGTGCTCGTGCAAGGCGTGCGCCCTTGTCAAACTTTTCATAGATGACGGGGACGAAGAGGAGAAAGAGAGGAAAGACGACGCCTGTGACCGAGACAAAGAGTGCGAATCCGGTCAATCCCGCTGGCGCGCGTGATATCAGTGTTGTGCTAATGATGCTGCAGACACAGTGAACACATACATGGGCCTACATGCCACCTTGCCTGGAAGGCAGCGACGCTGGCGAAACAGCACATTGCAAGGAAGTTGAAGAATGCTTGGGAGGCATGGAATATGATAGCGGGTTTGTGTACGATCATCTGTGGGTTCCGAGCGACGCGTCAGTCATGGTCGATGGATATGAGAGTGGGCTAGAACGATTAACCCAGATGCAGCATATCGACAGCAAGGGTATGAAGAGCAGCAAGACGAGAAACCCTGCTGTATCGACGGTCGACGCCATAGATCAGAGAGGCTACGTCGAAAGGGTCATTGCATTACGTAACCCTACTGCACCCTGAAGGGGCTGTGAGGCGTGCAGACACGCAGCCGCGGCAAACCAGCAGGGGGGCTAGAGTGTGGAACGTGCGCGAACGGCTGGCGAAGCGAGAGACTTACGTCGTCCTCAAAGGGCAGCATCCCCCCGTTCCCAATTCCGCCAGTGGTAGACATCGGCATGGGTAGAGCGGACTTGCGTGCAGGGATGATGCGGGCAAAACCGTCTTGTATGCTTTCCAGCAAAGGCATGACGGTCAACGAGGCCTGCGCGTGGCTTTGCCTAACGGAGACAGATGAATGGATAGCGATAGAAGGCGATCGTGCGCAAAGGGACGCTTCGCGGTCGTAATATAAGACAGGGGCCTATTGAGCGGGAGATGAGTTGTGGATGGGCGATGTCTGGTGCAGGATTAAAGTACAAAAACAGAGCGGTGTGTGGACGTCTTAGTCGATATGCTGCGGTCGGAGGCGCTGCTGGGAACAGCCTCGCGCAGAATTGGCAGTTGTAGGCAAGACTCTGAACACAGTTCCACGGGCGCTTCTGCTGGGCAACGCTGTAATGCACTTGCTTCCGTAAGCGGCACGCGCGCTCCGTACGGGCGCTTGCCACCATCTGTGGCTGGGCGAACATCCGAGATCATCAAACTCGTCTGCTCAACCATGGCTTCATGATAGAGCATTCAAACGTTCAAATTTCATAAGTTAAATGAGTATTTTCACTTGCTGTTGCGCAATTTACATCTGTCGAGCCCTGAGGCCTGGTTGCTCTAACACAGAGTGCCTACCCACTGTCGCGGTCCCGTGACCGTGTCGTGTCCGCTGATCGCACTCGAGATCCTCCGCGTTCACGCGCACGTCACTCAGTCAGCGCGGATGTCCAGTATGAATGACAAGGCCGCGCTCAGCTGTGAATAGCTCCTATTGTCATGCACACAGCTCAGTATGCATAGTACTTGCGCGCAGTTGTTATGATCTCTTTGATTCGAGCAAACCACCCCATCCCCGCGTAAGGTATATGCTCTTGACGGTCGTATGCACCACTTCCTATTCTCCGACTTCCACTCTCCCCATCTTCGGGACTATAATTCCCAACATCCCTCCTGAACATCCATGTGAACCTCTCCAGAAGCTCCTCTTCGAGAACTTGAGATTTACGTCTTCTCAACCTGTGGAGCTTCGAGCAAATACAGCTACGCCTAGCATCAACAAATGGGCATCTACGTCCGGAGCTCCTCGCCTGATTCTCAGATCGGGCGCATCTGCTCTGCGGCAAGCCACTGCCTGAGTTCCAGCACACCACCAACGCCCCCAGAAATATGGTCACCAACGGGACACGAGCATTTTGAATGATCTGAAAAGAGATGACGATGCGGGGGGGAAGGGGGTATCATCGCAAACGCGGCGGACGCCTGCGAGGATCTGATTGCTGACAGAGCAAAGCACGAACTACGGCATCAATATATCATTCCCGGGACCAGGACGACGGCATGAAGAGAGCGGACAGGGGGATTGGACGAGACTAGGTGCTCGGGCTGAAGTCTGGATGTTTTGTGGATATGATGGAAGGGGAAGGGGAGATATGAGATATGAGCTGCACATCCACGACACGTTGCAGAGCAAAGTGAAGGCGAGACGAGGTGACCGTGAATGCCGTAATTGGCTATCTTGTGGATTGATCCGCTGGGTCAGACAAGCGATTGGCCATTTGTTTGGACTTCAATGCCCTCTCGGTATCACTTGGATATCGGTATCTGTTACAGTTGATTCTGATAGACCGTGGATCCATGTGAGTTCAGTCGAGTATCAAACAAACGACGACGACGCACGTCAATATGTTCATGTCATTCAATTTTGGAAAACGGGAACAGATATCCGCACAAAACTTAACACATTGCGAGTCGTCCAACAAAGCAGGCTGGAAGCAGAAAAATATGGATACGAGTCCCAGCTCGGCGAAATGTTCCTCAGCCAAAAGCTCATCAATCTGCACGCAGACCTCTGGATCGAAAATATTGAGCATGGCATCTGTATCCCATTCTAAAGGCGAAAAGGAGAACGAGATGTTACTGAGATCCTTTGATAATATTGTCTTGAGCAGAGGCAGCAGTACACTCCGGACTAACAGTGTGAGGTCATTCATATCCGACGTGAAGGCGCCCACTACCAGTGTCCGCAGATTGACATTTGATTCAAAGCTGATAGGGTGCACTTGAAAGTTATGAGCCGTGCTGTGCACTGAACATCATGTGATTGCATACTCACAGAGCAAGGACTGAAAGCTGCCACCACCATCCTTCTCTAGCGCGCTGAAAGTTGTTGTTGCCTCCTCAAGTCTCCCTCCGGCTATATTCAGCATGTCTTGAGTGAAATTAAGAGCCGCCGTAGATACTGGTGAATATAGATAGAGTGCTGTAAGGATAGCACGATTCAGCAGACCGAGAAGAATATGTCCAATGTCTTCGAAACACGACAGGTCATATTCAAAGGAAGTCAATGTCGTCAAAGGCATGCGGCGGTGTTCGGGCAATGGAGCCATGGACCTCAATTTGCTCCAGTGTAGATCCCAGCAGTGAAGGGACTGCAGCTGAGGAAATGAACAGATGACCTGGAAGAAGGGGCTCGCCGATGGCAACGTCACTCTCGCTAGCCGCAATGATGTGATATGACTGAATTCGTGCAAGCTCCCAAACGCTAAATTGCGCATAGAGCACTGCTCGAAGCTGACGTCGGAGAAGCTGAGCGAGGCCAGGTTGGGAAGTTTTCCTGCCAGCATCACGAGAATCGATGCCAACTCCGGACTTGTCATAGAGGATTCCAGAGTCGGAGATCGAGCTCCGATCTCTAAGCGTCGCACACGGGCAGCGAGGAGAGGTATCCGCGTCAGTGACCTCGCACAGGCGATCGCCTCTTTCCGAGTAGAGAGTATGGGCTCCTCGAACAGGATTGCGCGGCTCTCGGCGTACCACCCTCGGCGAACGAGGGCGCAGTTCAACAGAGTTTGTCTTTGGTCTCCGAGCCAAAAAGGGTCGAGATGGTCGATGATGCGCTCGCAGATCTCAGCGGGAAGGCGCGGCTGGGGGTTGTTCAAGATCGGCGGGGCAACGTTGGTTTGGTCTACTGGAATGGACATGGCAGAACCACAGGATAGCGCATTCGCGCGGTAGGCTAGTTCAAAGATGTGAGCGATTGTCGAGAATTATTATGTATTGATATACAAGTGAGGTGTATGAATGTAAGGTCGTAGTTGGCTGCAGGCCTACGGTGACGGTGCAGAGGACGGTCGATGAAGTTGTGAAGTTGTGAAAGGCATCAGAATCAGCCTTTCTTGGCAGACTTTCCGGTCCAGTGGTAACTTTTCCTACCACTCACGCAAATCTAACCCTCTTCTCGCAGCGAGAATCGGTACTTACTCTGCATTGTAAAGTCGAGGACTTCCTTGATCGGTATTACAGTCCTTGAGATCAAGCTGATAATATGAACGGTGCGTGTTGAGCCAAAATTGTCTGCATCAGTAAAATCCCGACTTTCAACCTTTTTGCTTCCTTTGTCACCTTTCTCCAGTATGTGAGAAAGTGCCAAAAACAGCACGAGGATCTCCTGGAATTGCACCCTTTTTGACCTTAGGAGAGCCTTTTGCTCGAAAAGGTGTCTGTATCACATTAGCCGAAGCTCAGGTTTGAAATTTGAGGGTTAATGTCCTTAACATAATTTCTCATCACCTTTCCGGCGCCTTTTCCACGAATAATAATAAGCGCAGAACCAGGAGATCCCCAGGGCCACGCTTTTCGGGCCTAGTACCTTTTTGGGCCGAAAAAAGCTCTAAAGGGGGCTAAAAGGTAATATTTGGGTTTCCCTGCTGTGCTAAGTATTGAAGGAACGAAAGCTGATACGGACCGGGCAGCGATCAGTGGCCAGTCTCAGACTCTCGGCCAGGGAGGAGTACTACTCCTCAAGACGACGGGGGCCACGTCACATGACTCCTACCAATATTTGATGAGGAGAACTTGGCGTAGGGCCACGAGGTGCTCACAGTGAGTTGGTTCTGACATTGTACTTCAGCCGGCGCCTACTACGTTCGAAGGGTGTACGGAGCGGGCCGCGGAGGTTGAAGGAATTGTCTCGTCCGCCCACGGGAGACTAGAAGGGAGCTTGCCGCATCTCTGGACGTCGCGGCTGCGTTCTTTGTCTCTTCTGCGCTTCCTGATCAGATAAAGGATCTAAAGAATGAAAGACACACAGTATATCCAACTTGTCTCATCAAGATTGCTTCCTCAGAACCTCTCCCTCGATCAATTTTCGTGCAATCCCATGTGGAGCACTAACAGTGATAACTGTAGTACTGTATGTGCCAAGTCAGAAGTAAGAGGAGCAAAAACTGAGTACTGAAGGAGCTGGAAGTTTTGTCCCATCATTGACCTTGAAGGCGTCTTGATCTACGACCGGGAGATAACAATTCAACCAGAAGGCTCTCGCACAGCCTCAGTTGCCTTCTCTGGACCCAGTGCCCATTTTATCTGTCCAGACACCTTGAGATAGTTCACATTCAGTCTCGATTAGCGAAGTTACGATCCGCCTGAGCATGCTATTAGGACATCTTCAAGCAGGACCTGCTTCCATAATATACAGAGTGACTATCGCTCTATCATCACGCTCCAGACTTCCAGTACGCGATATCTCCATCGTTCACTGGACGCGCCGCACACAAAAGAGCAACATCAGCAACCACATTATCAAGGAAGGAGGACGGAAGACGACACTGACTCTCATATGTCTTGCCCTGCTGCTTGAGCTTGCCCCCAGCCTTGACGGCCGTTTCGCTACCGTACTCCCGGAGGTCGTCGTAACTCATGATCTCACCGCACACGAACTTGTTCTCGAAGTCCGTGCTGGAAGAGACGGGCAAACTTACGTTAACATACAGACCAAAGGTGGAAAAGGGACGCACTGGATGACTCCGGCCGCTTGTGGTGCCCGCGTATGCCTCCGGATCGTCCATGCACGGACTTCGTCTGGGCCGCAGGTGAAATACCGGATCAACTGGAATGCACCAGCATTTGAGTCATCATATCGACATATGGAAGGACATTGCAGAGATACGCACGTCCAGACTGGCATAACCTGCCGTGGTAATCTTCGGCAGCGCAGACTGCGCACCGATCTTCTTCTGCTCCTCCTCCCTATCCTCGTCGGACATGCCCGCGAGTCGCTCCTCGAGCGCGACAGAGAAGGGGATCAGTGGGTCGCCCGGGTTGTTCTCGTCGATCCAGGCTTTGATCTTTGGTAGCCTGCAAGGAGCACAAACGGGAGTGAGTAACCGCTGGGTTAGAGGCAGGAAAGGGTAAATGAAACGCACCACTTGTTCTTCTTACGTATATAATCCTTCTCGCTGAGGTTGACGAGATAGGTGACGGGCTTGGCGCTAAGGAGCTGGAGGCCGTTAACGACATCGATCTAGGTTTAAACAGCGGTCAGCTACCGCAGTTGATCTAGATTTTAAAGAGACTAAAAAGGAAGTGGTTGACGGGTCAGATAGAAAATGATCTCATAGGCATTTTGGGGCGTTACTCCCGCCTCAACGAGCTGGGTTAGTTGAGTATACTACTCTTTATCATCATGTAGGAGAAGAGAGATAGCGAGATCGAGGATAGCAATGGACACTCACCTCTTTGTTTGTCCAATCTGCCTTGCGAACGTCTTTGTTCTCCACGGTAATGACCTTATAAATCTTCTCCACAGTCGCCTACAACGCCAAACATTGGCATCTTCTCATACACAACATTTTTAGCACCCTGCGAACTCACGATTTCTTCTTTCTTTGCTTTATCCGCAAGGCTATTGCTTCCCAAGGAACGTCCGCTTTTCTTGAGACCATCGAGGTGCTTCTCGACCCACTCGATGTCCTTGAGGCGGAGCTCTGTCTGAATGATCTCCATGTCGCGGATAGGATCGACTTCACCCTCGACATGAATGACCTCGGCATCATCGAATGCGCGGACGACCTGGAAGATACCGTCCACGGCACGCACGTGCGAGAGGAAGGCGTTCCCGAGGCCCGCACCTGTAGATGCGCCCTAGCGAGCACATTAGAGCTGACGGATTGGAAGGGCTTGAAGGGCAGCCGGAACTTACAGCTGTCAAACCGGCGATGTCGACGCAAGTGAGGAATGCAGGAACTCGGGAGGCAGGTTTGTAAAGGTCGCATAGCCACTCGAAACGGGCATCTGGGACAGGAACACGTGCCTCCTCGGGGTTGCTACGGGCACGGATAATTAGCAATGGAACAGGAGAAACGGAGCATAAGCGATGGCGGATCCTAACAGCCGCCGAAAGGAGAATATGAGAGAGAGAGAAAAATTCACATCGTCGCATAAGGATAGTTCGCGCTGATGGCGATGTCTGCAGCGAGTAGGAGCATAGTGAAAAAGCTGTCAAGATTCAACAAAGATTGCATAACTCACCGGTCTTGGACAGAACGTTGAAGAAGGATGACTTGCCCACATTAGGCACCCCTAGATGACTCAAGCATGAGTGAGACGGACATCGTGACGACGATGTGCATGGACGGACCTACGATACCGATCTTGAGGTTGTTGCTCGGTCTGCCGAGGAGGACCTTCTTCTCAGCCGCGGCGGCCTTCTTGGGTGGCATGTTTTTCTTCTTTGCTGCAAGCACGCTAGAGAAAGAGAAATGTCGCGCCGCGAGGTCAAATCTTGTACGAAAACTGAGGAACTGAGAGGGATGAGGAGGGGAAGATGATTTGCAGAGGAAAAACGCGAGCAGGCCGCCCAATCGATCGCGCATACCGCGATTTTTTGAGCGGGCGTGTCGTAGGAGGCGTCTTCCTTTTCGAGATAGAGAATCCCACAGTCATGTGGACACAATTGAAAAAGGAAATTCCCGCCTTCGCACGTCTCCACTCGACTGGGCTGTAACCCGTCTCGTCGCCTGCATCTACTCATCCGACATGCGGCCTTCCCTGCTGCCTCTTGCTGCTGCGGCCGCCTGTGTGCTCCCCATATACGCGCAGTTGATCACCACTACCGACGAGTGAGCGTCGTCTGCTTTTTGAAACCGACTGCGCAGCGCTTCCGGGACTGACTGACACTGCACGCATAGGTACGGCTACACCGTCGTCGAATTGATCACGCTCGATCCATTAGGCCTAGTCACGACATCCATAGAGTGCGTGCATATAGCGCACTCGATGGTGGGGCGATCGCTGATCCGGAAATTATGCATCTAGGTCGACTATTCTCGCGGGCGCGTTAACGGATACGGCCACAGACACAGACACGGAGCTCACTACGGCTCTTACAACAACGGCGAGGACTACCGCGC